CTGAAAATATTCATTTACATTTGTACTGCACAATATATAATAAAGTAAACATAAAAACATTCATATCATCAATGAATTATATATACGAATTACACAATAAATCAAATTAGAACTTTTGTACCTTTAAATTTAAATCTTAATGTAAATTATCTTTTAAAACAATTGCATTTATTTGTTAAATTAAACATACCGATTTTGACTTGTCTCAATACATCAAGTTCCGGATTTAAACTGACGAGATTCTCAATAACAATTGTTTGATGGACTGGGGGGGGCTTTTGTCCTACCTGTATTTTTGATGGGCTTTGTCCTACGTGTAAATTTCATGGGGGGTGCTTTTGTCCACCTTGTCATTTTTAGATGGGGGGGGGGGGCTTTCGTCCGGGGGCTTTTGTCCGTATCCCAGCCTTTCACTATACATGAGATACCCCCAACGCATGGACATATACATCACAAGTAGAGATTTTGATGCTAAAGCATCAAGTCGCCGGATAGAAAAATGATTGTATTATCATAAAGATCATAAGAAAATATCAGTTTAATGGCTCAAGTATAAAAAAGAGGAACACTTTGTTGAGTAATTTTTGCCACCGAGGCTTGTAAGGCAAGTGATATGCTGGTTATTCTTCTTGTAATTCTACTTTATACACCATACTGTTACATTGAAATCCGTATGGGTTACTAGTTCAGAATCCGATATTACCGATAAATAATTACCGATCATCGAATATTTGCAAAGTGACTATGAAAATATATATGTTTAATAATTGCATGAAACAATGCAGTTCTACTGTAAAAGTGTTGTCCATCATTATTATGCGTATCGAAAAAATATATAATTTAGTTGAAATCAATACATGTATTCCCATCGTTATATACGATATAATTAACGTTTTATTGCCTTTCAGTGCGATAAACTATCAAATCAAAGATAGTTTATTATTTTTTTCTGTGTATCTAATACGATTCCGGACCCCTACCGACATACCGTTTTGGAAACCTGCGCGACGGAAACCAACGGAATAATTACCATTATATATTTTTAAGCATAAATTTTTTTGTGATGTTCAACCTAAACTAAACTGTCAAAAGTTTGACAGAAAAGGGCCAAGTTTAACCCCATACGAAGAAAAAAGGAAAAGGTGTTGAAAAACTATTTTTAATGCGTAAAATATTAGTATACAGGTTTTTCTAATGATATAAGATATGAAACTGATTAATCAAAAATAACTTTGTTATTATTTATACAAAATTACAATGATTTGCATCTTTAATATAAACAACCAAATAATTTAAAAGTGTCATTTCAAATATCATTCATGATTTATATATCATAAAAAAGCAACGCTTGACACATAGAAAAAAGTAAAAGTATCCCTAAATTCCGATCGCAACTACTCGGCCCTTTGCGTCAGTCTTCGGATAAGGATAAGTTATTATAGATAAAAGCCTTAATGATTGGATTTACAGTCAAATCGGTCCCAAGTCAGATTGGCCCCAAGTTGAATCGGCCCCAAAATAGTCAAATCGGCCTCAAGTGAAATCGGCCTCAAGTCAGATCGGCCCAATTTTTTTATTTTCTTTCTTCATTTTTCATTTTCTTTCTTTTTTTTAAATGTTGCATGCATATTGATAAAAAAAACAATTGTGTGGATGGGAATACCTAATGACAAACCATGGCTTACAAAGAAAACAATAACAAAACATATAATAATCAATCAATTTGCATATCTGGCATTGGTGATGCTGACAGCGACTTGTCAACATATGACCTGTAATGTAAAAAAAATATCGTTACTTTTCATAGATATTATCATCTTTATACTTAATTATTACTTGTAAAAAAATGTATTGATCAAAATTTAATGTCCCCTTATTTTTATAAAAGAAAACGTTTGTAGTATCATACGAGAATATATATTAATAAAACTTTTCAGTTCTTAAGTATCATCATTATGTATTTAATGTCCCCATGAAAACGTTTGTAGTATCATACAAGAATATGTATTAAAATATGTAATACATTAATAAACTACAGTTAAATGTTTAAGAGTGAATTTTTTCATGTTTTTCTATTTAGATTGGTAAAAAAAAATATATACAGGTGTGTCGGACACGTGTAACTAATAAACAGCTAATTTAAAGCAATCAAGTAGGAACAACATGCTACCTGATTAAACGTCTCACTCTTTAACTGGATGAATATCACTATAAATAAGTATTTTTTCGGACAAAATAATCATAACAGAACAGAACATATACTTTATTTCTGACTGGGGCTTAACACCCATCATCACAACATCCATATACATGTATATCTATTATAATGCATGCACCAAGAAATCATGTTTTAATAAATTCAATATGATAGTCATCAATTAAATCTCAAATTATGCAATATACAATACAATAATAGTTTATTCAACATTAAACATTTTACAATGTTTTTAGCATACAGAGTATAATATACAAAGAGAACATGGTTTACAGAAGAGTACATGATTATCAATAATGATTAATACTTAATTGATGATATTTTACTTTTGATACAAGAAAAAAGACTGATCATTTACATATAACCTACAAGAATAAAGACTGGTCATTTAAATATAAATTGAATCAGCTACACAAGGTTTCTGTTTATACCTCCCGCGCGTAAAATGAGATTCTCGTGCGCGTGTAAATACTTAAAATACTTCTATCTAGTAGTAAACTAACTAAATACGGGAAAAAATCGCGAGTTAAACTTATTATAGATTGAACATGCTGTATGAACATTTATTTACGCGTCGCGACTTAGATTCGCATAGTATATAAATTTAGCTACATTATAAATAGTTTTATTCGAACGTGATGATAATAGTAACTCAAGTTTCTTGATATTTGGCCAGTGACAGAAGTAAGGCTGAAAATATTTTTTTCTTAAATCACGATAAAAAGGACAAACTAGAAGAAAATGGTATTCCGATTCGATTTGATTCATATTACATAACCTACATAATCTATCTTCTCTTTGGATGTTATTATATCTTCCGGTTTCAATATTTAAGCTATGTGACGAAGTTCTAAATCTAGTTAATGCTGTTCGGTATTTATTTTCGTAGATGATATTAAGGTATTTCTCAAGCTCGAATTCATGTTTATATATCGCGTATGAATTAAGTCGATTTGAATTATTAATTTCCCCATACCATGTTTGCATGTATGAATCATAAATTATTTTCTTATTTCATCGAAAGGAATGTCGATTTCAAATTGGTGATCCCAAATATAACTAAAACCATAGTTATCTAGTATAGTCTTGATTTGGTATGCCCAGTTATTTCGTGCGTAATGTCTATTAAAATCAATGTCATTTTTAAGCATTAGAAATGTCTGTAAAATCAGTGAATTTGAGTTTTGCGATAATATTTTCATCCAGTATTTTAACATAGTAATCTTTCGCATAATTTCAAGGGGAAAACGCCCAGTTTCACCATATAGTGCCGATAGGTTGGTTGATCGTTTACCGCAAAGTATTCGTCGTAAAAAATTCGTGTGTACAACTTCTATCTCCCTTGCCTTATGGTGCCGCCAAATCTCAGATCCAAAGTTAAGAACTGAACCAACCAACGTGTCAAATAAGTAAAATTTCTTTAAAAAAGTAAATTCTGCGTTATTAAACAAACGAAACAAATTAAATAATGCAAACGATGCGTGCTGAGCAATACATTTTTGTGTCCTCGACCAATTGCCATTTTTAAAAAGAGTAATTCCTAAGTACTTAAAAGAGTCTACTATTTCAAGTTGTGTGTCATTTATATAAAATGAAAAATGTGTGGTTCTTCCCTTTTCAAAGATCATGACCTTGGTTTTTGACGTATTTATTTTCAAACCCCAAGTATTACAATAAACAACGACGTCATTTAACATTGACTGTAAACTTTCAGGGGACATTGCAAACAGCACTTGATCATCTGCATATAGAATGCATTCATATATGTTATATATCTATATTGTCTGCGTGTTCTATATCCACTCATGTACGTGCGACAAATCAAATTAAGTTTGAACACCGTCACGTTTAACCAGGTAGCACGTTGTTCGCACTTTAATTACATATGTACCGTTAATTGCATCACGCATTCGTTAATCCAGTAGCATTGCATCTCTATTTATTTTTATTAATGTATTTACTTTTATTAATTAACTATAATTTAAATTAAAAACTACTCTTTAAAAAATTGAATTTAGAAATAAAAATGTTTTTATTTATTTTGCTATGGCAATTCATTCACCATTATTTTAAGTATTTAAACCTGTTAGTCATGATGATATATTTTCAATTGTAATGGCAATATTTTTACTCCTGATAAGTTTTGTCAATTAAAGTAACTCACCGGTATTACACTTCCTATGTTGCCATTCGCACAAGCATCACAAGTGACTGCCTCCAACCGTTTCCGCACAACACTTCGACAGTCTATACAATTATCAATCATTTTCAATAACCAACAAATAAGTTTTGGGCCGATTTGACTAGTTTTGAGGCTCATTTCATTAGTTTCGGGGCCGATTTGACTAGTTTTGGGACCGATCTGAATGCGCCTAAATAATAGTTCCGAATGCCTAAATTCAATAACTGATCCTTAGGGAAACATTATTGATTAATTTTATGAAAATTGTTATGTTGCTTTTTAAGATGTCAATATGTGTATATTTCATTTCATTGAGCAAAGTTATCATATATGTTTGAATTTTTGAGATAACTGAAAATTAATTGTGGTATTTAATTGTTCAATAAATGATATGCTTTTATTTTCAGATTTTAAGGGCTTCTTCTACCATAGGTATAATATTAAACTGTTACAAATATAGTCGCCGGTTTCTACCGGCGACTAATAAATGAACGTAGCCATTAATGTAGTAGAGGATGTCGGTATTGTACGGTATTGACAGCGTTGACAGTGCATGTCGATATTGTACGGTATTGGTATAGGTTTTATCGAAATTCATTACAACCGGATATAGGAAAATTGTATTCTGGGAGTTAAAACACAACAGAAATTTCAGAAAAAAAATTTGCTGACATAATTTATTGATAAAGAAATACATTTTCTGAATAGACATGAGGTTCAAGAATAAGCACTAACTTTCTTTGTAAAAGAAAGCTCTACACGAGTGTCCAAACTTGATTTAACCTTTTAGCCTTTGAAAATATATGAAACATCGCTTTCGATTTTGATTTCAGCTGATTTTCGTCACAATTTGCGACGTTTATTGAAAGAAAAATGAGCCGAAATCAAGCCAGAAAAGATACCAAAATGAGGATTAGGGCATTCCCTGTAAGCAGATTTGATTGATTTACATTTATTGCTGTTAAAATGTTATGCGTCTCAAACTCCAAGCCTGCATATCTAGTGTTTCACATTAAAAGAAATATATCTTAGATTACATTATTTTTGGCAGTAAGGCCCCCACGATTACACGTTTAAACGGATTCGTTTCGATTTTCATTCATAAACGTTTCCGATATTGTTTACCTTTTAATCGAAATGACCATATTGTGTTACAAAATTTCTTAATCATTGCCTGTAATCATGGATTTTATCAATTCTAGTGGTTTATTCCCAAGTAAACAAACGGAAAATGGGTGTTTACAACCCTCCAAACAGCATTACCGTGCAAAATTGCTTGTGACATAATACATTTTTGGTAAAAAATGGGGTTACAATGCAAAAAATGTGTGCTGACTCAAGCGTGATGAGCCTTGCACATTCTTTATTTGTACATGTATTATTAATAGAAAGAAAGACATCATTTGGTGACTCAAATAAATAGTGTGTAACAGTATAGTATATAGAGGTACCACCGTTTAAACGGTATTGTTTCGGTTCTTAGCAATCGTGTAAGCGTTTACAAAAAATTGTAAACGTGGGAGCCTTATTTGGCCGGCAGCAGAATATTAATTAGTCATTTTTTTCTGCTAACATCTGATTTCTGCCAATTCGTTAAAGAGTTCTTGCAAGGAAATAATTGCATGTCATACAAGTCTCAATGAATTTTTCGAGAGTCACTCGCCCTACCCCTTCAAATTTACTCACCCTTCATAAATTGTACTCGCCTGCATTTTGACGTACAAAATTTGTAAAAATCAAACATAAGATTCTAATTGACTACTTACCGGTCTTAAATTGGCTTTATGATCTTTATTCTTGTGCATATATTACTTATCGGGCGATATCGGTAAATTAGCTTTATTCATGTACATACTGAATTTGTAAAATAATGTTTACAGACTTCCGGATATTTAAAAAAAATGTCAGACATTTGGTCTGACATACCATACAGAAATGAAAACTGTCAGACCAAAAGATATTAAACAAAATCAAAGAAAAACTGGTGTTTGTATTTCTAAGACACTTTTTGTTTCTTACTCTTAGACACTTCTAATTTTACGCACAGTCGGTACAGCACATTTTCACCTCCTCCATGTCGTACACCAATAATTCATAGTCTTGCTTCCATTTGTCATTAAATTTTCTCTAGGGTCTATTCTTTTCATGTTTTTACTTCTGTTTTGTTCGCTCCTCTGATGTAGATTTTCGTTTCTTCCCAAGTTTTGCACATTTAGCGAAGCCATTTTTTATATGAGCGACTTAGATAACAGCTGAAAGACCGACCAATCCGGAATAAAGAATTGTCAGACCTAATCAAAATTTATCAGACATGTCCGTTGGACTGACATATTTCTGGAAGTCTGTGTTTATAATGATAGTGTAGGTTTAGAAAATGTTTGCGAATATAGACTCAGCAAGCCCAGTCACACTAGTACTCATCTTTCAAACTTAAAGTCTTCAATTGCAAGTACGCACATTTATTGCCAATGAAGAATGAATGAAATTGGCAGCCAGTAAGTTACCAAAATAAATGCTTGTAAAATTAGACAAGCACATCTCTGAATAATGGCAAACTGTAAAATTTGCTAAATTTTCTGCAGAAATCTGATAGAAATTATTTTTAAAGGGGCCACATTATAATAACTTACATATATGTTTACATTATGCACTAATGAAAACACAAATTAGTGTTTGTAGGATGTATTTACACAAACAATCCAGGAAATTTCACGGCCACCATATTATTTTCTGTAGCAGTCAGGTGAAAATAACTGTCCACAAGAAAAGTAATGTTCAAGAAAACATTAGTAAATACTAATATTTATCAATATTGATAAATATTATGTTGTATTTGTTCCCAATGCATCAAATATTTTTGATAACTCATCTTTATTTTACCAATTATATACCTATTTCTTCCACGGTAAAGATTACTTTAAGTTATACATAGCATTTAAAAATACAACAATAACAGCATGCATGAAAAAATGATTTTATCAAATTGACAAAAATTTTGGTCTGTCCTTGACTCATAAGAGTCAGACCTTACTCAGAGCCCTGATTCATATTTTCATGTGTAAGTAATAAGGAAAATACTTCTTCTAAGAAATCAACAACAGCATTAATGCAGAGTGATGAAATAATATATATATATTGTGCCACTTGTTGGTTTTAAAGAAAATTATTTTAAATTGGGAAGAGGCCCTTTATAATAAATATAAAGAGGCCCCTTATAATAAATATAAATATATCATCTGTTTAGTGTTATGGTGAAAAAATCAATACAAGTACTGCTAGCAAAAGTTTTATACATATTTGAGTCATGTAGCATGTAATCATAATGAAGATCCCCAGAATTATCAACAACATGTTATGTAAAATGTCTAATTTTCTTGTTTTGTACAGATGACTATGGATGAGAAGTATGTAGACAATATTTGGGCATTATTAAAAAATGCTATACAAGAAATACAGAAGAAAAATAACAGCGGTCTTAGTTTTGAAGAATTGTATAGAAATGCATACACCATGGTCCTACATAAACATGGCGAGAAACTGTACTCCGGTTTGCAAGAAGTTGTCACAGAACATCTAGTGAAAAAGGTAAAATTATGTAGACCGTTTAGATAGTTTCGTTGGAAATTTTAAATTACTTTAACCTGAACTGGCAATCTACAAATTTACTTATTCAGAACATTTTATTGTATATTTTTTAACATGATTTGATGACATCATAAGGAAATTGCATGAGAAAATGATGAGTTACTCAACATAAATCGGTAAAAATTACCACAATATGTTAAAAAAGCATGGGTTTCCTTATGCAAGATTAAATTATATTTCTTTTGTAAACACAAGATGTTGTATTTTCACACCAGTCATGAAAATATTGCACCTTGTGTTCACTGTGTGAAATACACGTACATTACATTGGTTTCATTTAAATTATAAAATGAACTAGCTATCTAGCTGAAAACTTTTGATTATATTCAGGTGTCTGCTTGTCTTGAAATAATTTATCCAGGTTTTTCTGACATCTATAAAAGGCTTGAAAGTTGCCATATCACCAGTTAAATTCTTCAAAAATTAAGGAAATGTGTGTAAAGTTACATGTAGTAATGATTGTTACTAGTGATGGAAATCAGGTGAAATTTGTCCCAATCGATCATCGGTTCAGTCGAATGGGACATAATCGATAACTTTTCAGGTAAAGTCACCTTAAAAAGAAATAGGGAGTAACATTTCTTCCCAAGGCACTTGATTACATTTAGCAACATGAACTTCATTTAGCACTTTTCAACACAGTTTTAACCTTATTTAGTCATAATTTTACGAAATAGATTTTATTTTCAATGGATGTCAAAAAATAACATTCACGTCACATTATATTACTATTGTTTACATCACTTATTGATCCTGTTCAACTCCAAATTGTCTCCGGGATGATTTTTTGCGATCAGTGGTGTGTTCCTAAAAGAAAATTACCGTCAGAATTAATTCCCTTTGATACTTTAAACATTTTCGACAATGTCACAGAACAAATTTTTGTGAATCGATTATTGTCGCTTTACATAAGAGTAACTGATCGGATCATCACTAATTGTTACTTATGTTTTTCAGGTACAAGTAGATGTACTTGCAGCATTAAACAATAATTTTCTACTAACATTGAACAGTGCCTGGAGTGATCATCAAACTTCTATGGTTATGATAAGAGATATACTTATGTATATGGTAAGTTAACGTTTCACTGTATACCTAAATAACATGAAATCAAGTGCTACAATAAAGTGCTATAAATTATAATATATAAATTGTCTTATCATTCTTTGTGAACTTCATGTAATTTCATAAGGTGATAAGATTTGTTTAAGTGTAACTTAATTTGTAAAAAAGTATAAAATCTGAAAAACTCTATATCATTGTTTTGAAAGTTCAGAGTAATGTTTGGTTCTCTTTCATAAAAGATTTGTGAAAATATCATGAAACTCGCACATTCATAAAATTTATCAAATTAAGGGTTTGTTTCTGCAGATTAGTGAGGTTACATCTGTTGTTTTATTGGTTATTATGAGCCTTGAAAAGGTCTTAGCAAATTTTTCTGGACATTAACAAAAAATAAGATTATTAAGAAATAATATATCCTAAACAGTGATTTTATCGCCCAATAAAATCACTGTTTGGAGTTTGGATGAGAGGAATTATATCATGAGGGCATAGTCTGAGTGATATAATAATATGTATCCGAACGACAAACAGTGCTTTTATCAAGCAATAAAATCACGGATTTGGATATATTATTTCAATTCTAACACAACATCAACAAACAAATGCTGCCGTACCTGATATTAAGCTAAATTGCGCCTGATTTGTTCCCTTACTTTTTTTCAGCGTGTTGCATTTTTTATCGGTTACGTCATATGTATTAAGGTTTATATGTCACATTTCTAAATATAGAACGTCAACAGTGATTTTATTGCATAATAACACACACTTTCAGTTCTTCTATGTTCAGTAGGGAAAACTGCGGGTCATTTTAGAATGTACTACAATACATGTAAGATGTCAACATTTAGTATGTTATAAGGAATGCTGATATTCACGTGTAAATTATGTTGTATAGCTTCTACTATAGAGATCTAATAAATTACCTTTTTTTTAAAGGATAGAGTATATGTACAGCAGAACAATGTGGATAATGTGTATAATCTCGGACTAAAGATATTTAGAGATGAAGTAGTACGTTACCAGACAATTAATGAACATCTAAGACACACACTCCTAGATATGGTGGCAAAAGAAAGAAGAGGAGAAGTTGTTGATAGGTGACTTCCTTAATCCTAGTCTCAAAATAACAAGTTTTTATATTACATATTTAATTATCTGTAAGTTATTTGTCCCTTTTTTTGTGCATTTTGCTTGATGGGGCAATTCCTGTTATGATTTTTGATAGAAAAATGGCCTTAATTTCACTATTACATGTACAAAGTAAATTGTATTTCTAGTGTATGTCAAAATTAAAGTATTTGTTATGTCTCCCAAAAATTCTGGGAGATATATTGTTTTTTGTCCGCATTAAGCTTGTCTGCTACCTCAGGTCAAACTCCTGGGGGGGGGGGGGGGGATTTCAACAAAACTTGAGAGGATTGATCAGTAAATCGTAGTTGTGCTTGCTGGCATGTTCCGCTTCTCTGCACAAAATGGCAGCCAGAGCTAAAAAATCAAATTGTCTGGCTCCCACAGGTCAAACTGCTGGTTGTATTTACATCCTTAGAGTACATACGTGGGAGACATGTTTTTGTGACAAAATCCCCTTCTAGTTGTGTTTTAAAATGAACATTTCATTTGTGTATATTACAGGGGAGCTGTAAAGAATGCATGTCAGATGTTGATGATTTTAGGAATAGAAACAAGACAAGTATATGTTGAAGATTTTGAACAACCTTTCCTCTCAGAATCCAGGGAATTCTACCAGGTATAGCTTTGTTGTGGTGTAAGGATGATGTGTAATGATAATACAGATGAAGTAATATGAAAGTATCTAACATGTATAATGTAACGTATACTAGAGGTTAGATTATAAGATGTGGTGTTTTATTTTGTCAAATCTGCAAGGAAGCTTTCCCCTTAATGGTGCTTAAAATTCTATCAGAAATTTCATGGTTTAACCATTTTTCCCCTGCATTCTACTTCATGTCACTGCTAAAGAATTCCGAAGTTGTTTTCAACAGGGTCAGAGAAAAAGCAATGTTGTCCCTTTAAATGCTTGTACATTAAAATTGAGTTCCAGATTAAAAGCTTTGATCACACAAAGGTTATATACTTCAAGATGAACATAAATTCTTTAAATTAATAGGAGAATATTGGACATATTTTAGGCTGAGAGTCAGAAGTTTTTAGCAGAGAACAGTGCATCAATGTATATAAAGAAAGTTGAAGCTCGTATAAATGAGGAGGCTGAGAGAGCTACACATTATCTTGATAAAACAACCGAGGAGCCAATAGTTAAAGTTCTAGAGGAGGAATTGATTAGCAAGCATATGAAAACCATTGTTGAGGTGAGTCATTATACCCTCAGTCCCCCCCTCCCCACAGTCCCCCCGTTTCCAGTCCCCCCATCCCCAGTCCCCCTGGTCCTACAACTAAAGTTGTAAGGGGAGTATACCGGTTTATACAATCATTAATAACAAAGTTTCAGCAAAATTCAAGGAATTAACTTTAGTTTAAATTAACCCTAAAAGGTCATGGTCAAATTGTTTATGATATGTGCAAGTTGACATCATGTTGGTTACTGCCATCAAGGTACATTAAATTTGGTTGATAGGTTTTGCAGAACAATTCTGGACACTATAATATACAGTGTTTTTCAGTGGTCATGTGATATTCATGCTTGAAAAGATAATTATTGGACTCTAATTATTCCCACATATTATAATATTGAAAAATATAAATGTATATAACTGTATTACAGATGGAGAACTCTGGGGTTGTACATATGCTCAAAAACAACAAAACAGATGGTATGTATGCTCTTTAGAAAATTTATTTATATCTGAGGCCTAAGATAAAATTATAAATATGTTTGTTTTTTAGCGAGACCTTGGGCAGTTTTAAAGTCCCATGTCTATAAAAAAAAATAAAAGATTCATTAATCGTGAAATAAAGTTTGTTTCTCAAAATTTCACATAAAAGAATTAGATCACAAATGTTAAAGTGACAACACATAAATAGCAGAAAACAGTTTCAGATATATTACCATCTATTGAAAATCAGGTAGCATTATTTATTTATTTCTTTGCAACTTATTAAAAATTCACAAAACTGTGATTTGTGTTGAAAGATTTTGCTACTTATATAGAGATATATGTGTCACGAAAGGGCATCAAATGAAATTAAAGATGTAAATAGGCATCTGAATCAGCATCTAATTATAGATAGAGCTATTCTTAGGTGAAAGTTATCTCTTATAATTGTCAAAGTGAAAAATCACACAAATTGCATTATAAACAGTTTTGTTTGTCTGTAGTATAAGGAAGTATTTTCATTGTCAAAGGATAAATAAGACAAAAAAATCAGAGAAGTTAAGTGGTCTTTGCACATTGATATTGAAAGTTTAGTTTAAAAAGAAGACAACTTTTTATCTTGAAATGACTGTGCATGATGACCTTTAGTCCTTTAATTATGTTGACAATGATGTGCACTCACTCACTGACAATTTGTTATAAACTTGAGTTATAAAAGATATTTTATACTCGGTCACACTATATCTTAATACTAAAACAAACTGTTGTAATAAACTTCCTGCTTAGTATTCAATGAACACTACTTAAACATTACAAAAACTAAGAGACTTTGTTCTATTGACATTTCTTTTTTTTTAATGTTAATTAGAATATTAATAAGTGGTCATTCTCGCAATTTGTAAAACAATCATAGATGGTTTCAAACTGACTCTGCATCTATTGTCAAATTTTTAAGTACTCTTACACCAAATCACTTTGCCCACTACAGTCATCAAATTGAGAACTAGCCAGGTGGCCCATGGCCAGTGAAAATTTGTTCGGCCAGTGAACATTTTAAGAAAATTTAGTTAAATATATAGTAGAATAAATTCAAAACTGGACTTCTGGCTAGTAAATTCAAAATCTTAAATTCATTGACTGCCACTATGCTATTGCTTTGAATCCAGCAAGGGTCTTTGATATTTTTTATATAAGGAACTTATCAGACTAGCTAACAGGATACGGAAATACTGAATTTTTTATTTTCATAATATAATAGTTTATTGCAGTTTCAGCACCTACAATGATTTCGTTTCAATATTAACGTTATATATGTATCAGCTAGGTACTATAACAATATGTTTGTATATTGTAGATTTATGTTGTATGTACAAACTGTTGGTACGAGTACCAAATGGTTTAAAGACAATGTGTACATGTATCAGTGGTTATCTACGAGAGCAGGGCAAAGCTCTCGTATCTGAGGAAGGTGAAGATGGCAAAAATGCTATCACATATGTACAGGTAAATAGATACACATTCCTTAATTCCATAGCCTTTTGTTGGTTTTTACTTTATGTGAGATTTAGTTTTATGTATTGTACCTTACTTTAGCATTATTAAAAATCTTTATCTACAGATAAAGTAGACTTAACATTTTCCAGTGTAGCTTCAGTTGATATGAATTAATGAATGAGTCAGTTCCATTGTTCCATCCTCAAGGTGTAATGGATGTATAACATTATATTATATACTTTAATGTTAATTCAGTATATGTTTTGATTTATTTCAGAATCTACTTGATTTGAAGGATAGATTTGACCATTTCCTGCATGAGTCATTCAGCAATGATAATCTATTTAAAAAGATGATATCAAGTGACTTTGAGTATTTTATAAACCTGAATGCCAAGTCCCCGGAATTTCTGTCCCTCTTTATAGATGATAAACTGAAAAAGGGAGTAAAAGGGGTATGTAATCTTTGCTGTATATATTATTAAGCATTTAAAGTGTAATATGACAAGTATAAATTGCCATGACATTTGTTTTTTTAATGTGACATTGTTAAACAAAGTTAATTTTGCTTATAAAAGGGAGGCTTTTGTATTTGTTTAAATCGAGATTACAATTATGTATATGTCTAATAGATGACATCTTTATGTATGTAGATGACAGAGCAGGAGATAGAGACTGTGTTAGACAAGAGTATGGTATTATTCCGTTTTCTACAAGAGAAAGATGTGTTTGAGCGATACTATAAACAACATCTGGCACGTAGATTACTGCTCAATAAGAGTGTTTCTGATGACTCAGAGAAGAATATGATCTCCAAGTTAAAGGTAAAAACATGATCTCCTAGTTAAAGGTAAAACATGATCTCCAAGTTAAAGTTAAACATGATCTCCAAGTTAAAGGTAAAACATGAACTCCAAGTTAAAGTTAAACATGAACTCCAAGTTAAAGTTAAACATGATCTCCAAGTTAAAGAAAAAACATGATTTCGAAGTTAAAGATATAACATGATCTCTAAGATAAAGATAAAACATGATGTCCAAGTTAAAGGTAAAACATGACCTCCAAGTTAAAGGTAAAAACGACCTCCAAGTTCAAAGTAAAACATGATCTCCAAGTTAAAAATAAAAAAAATGTCTCCGAAGTTAAAACATGATCTCCAAGTTAATGATAAAACATGATCTCTAAGTTAAAACATGACCTCCAAATTAAAGGTAAAACATGATCTTCAAGTTCTAAGTTAAAGATAAAACATGATCTCTTAAGTAAACAGAACTTTGGTTTTCCTTTTCCAGTATAAGAGGATAGTAACATTACAGTTATAAGTTATTTTTATGCCCCCATTTCTTTGCTGTCCATCGGTAGACTGACATAACACTGGAATGTGAGGGTATTCTATAGATACATTTCTAGTTTTCACTCACTACCCACCCATTCATCATAAATAGCTCCTATTATAATGAACATTGCTTTAATATTGGAATGTAAAATGTATTTATCCTTATTTACAGACTGAATGTGGCTGTCAATTTACATCAAAACTGGAAGGAATGTTTAAAGATATGACCGTGTCAAATGGCTATATGGAGGAATTCAGGGGCTTTATAAACCAAGCTAATGTAGGTGCTTAAATAAAATCTCGAAAATGTTTCATTTATATCTCGCAAATTAAAAAACTTTTTAGTTTTTGTGAAATCTGTGTAATAGTGCAATTTTTTCTTTGGATCAAAGTGCAAAATATATCAAAAGTATTTCTTCTGAAGTTTTTTTTATTCCAAAAACTATACATATAAATTATTTACAAAACTTGAATTATTCATCATTCTAACAACCTCTGTAATGAACACTTGTGACTCATACAGGAAGTTACTTGACAGTTCTTGACTTAGATATTATAGAGTATGCAAACAACAATAATTACATCCTGAAATATAAGATCACATTTATTGTGTTTTACATTAATACATTTCTTAGATTCTATATTTTGTCTTTACATAGTAAGTTTGTAAAGATTAAATAAAGTCCTGTGCTAGTTCTCTATTTATATATAAAGTTGAGTTGGTAAACTTTGAATGTATTTTATATTAATTTATGTTACAGGTAAATTTACAGGGAGTAGATTTAACTGTGAGAGTACTCACTACAGGATACTGGCCCACCCAATCTGCCACACCTAAGTGTAATATACCACAGGCTCCTAGATCTGCCTTCGAACAGTTCAGAAGGTACGGACAAAGTCATAGATTCATTGAGATAACATTTTCAATTTATGTTTAAGAAATAGGACTTGCCTTTAATTTTAAGGTTGATCATAAATTTCCAGCCAAGTATTTGGAAAAGTCAACTGAAATAGACAACTTTCTTTTAAGAGAAAGAATTATAATGAGTGTTAGAAAGTGAATGTTGCCAAAATTAAATAAATGATCATGATTGGATGTTAACAACATAGTCAGCATCAATATTTGATAATGTGGATCACTTTGAATATGTGTAAAGAAGGGTTAAAACATATTTTGGGTATGTTTGGGTTTTGGTTTTGTAAATTTTGAATAATGTACAAAGAACTTCTACTATGCCTCAAAACAAGTGTTTTTAGCTCACCTGTCACAAAGTGAAAAGGTGAGCATTTTTGATAGCTTTTCGTCTGGCGTCCATTTGCACTACCGAATAGAGTTAAAGGGCCATCTAACTGTAAACAGAACAATAGAGGTCATTCTGTAACAATAGAAGAAGGGGCAAGTGCAGAGTTTTTATATTTCAGGGCTGTCATCACCCTCTTTTTAGCTCACCTGTCACAAAGTGACAGGGTGAGCTTTTGTGATCGCTTTTCGTCCGGCGTCTGTTCGGCGTCCGTCCGTCCGTAAACTTTTACTTTAAATGACATCTCCTCATAAACCACTAAGCCAATTTCATCCAAACTTCACAGGAATGTTCCTTTGGTGGTCACCTTTAAAAATTGTTCAAAGAATTTAATTCCATGCAGAACTCTGGTTGCCATGGCAACCGAAAGAAAAAACTTTAAATATCTTCTTTTAAAAAACCATAAGAGCTAGAGCTTAGATATTTGGCATGAAACATCTTCTAATGGGTGTCTACCAAGTTTGTTCAAATAAAAGCCCTGGGGTCAAAATTGGCCCCGCCCCGGGGGGTCATTGATTTTCCCTATATGCATATAGTAAAAACTTAAAAAATCTTCTTTTAAAGAACCCAAAGAGCTAGAGCTAAGGTATTTAGCATGAAACATATTCTAATGGGTGTCTACCAAGTTTGTTCAAATAAAAGCCCTGGGGTCAAAATTGGCCCCGCCCCGGGGGGTCATTGATTTTCCCTATATGCATATAGTAAAAACTTAAAAAATCTTCTTTTAAAGAACTCAAAGAGCTATGGCTAAGATATTGAGCATCAAACATGTTCTGATTGGTGTCTACCAAATTTGTTCAAATGAAAGCCCTGGGTTCAAAATTGGCCCCGCCCCAGGGGGTCATTGATTTTCCCTATATGCATATAGTAAAAACTTAAAAAATCTTCTTTTAAAGAACCAAAAGAGTTAGAGCTAAGATATTTAGCATGAAACATGTTCTAATAAGTGTCTACCAAGTTTGTTCAAATAAAAGCCCTGGGGTCAAAATTGGCCCCGCCCCGGGGAGTCATTGATTTTCCCTATATGCATATAGTAAAAACTTAAAAAATCTTCTTTTAAAGAACTCAAAGAGCTATGGCTAAGATATTTAGCATCAAACATGTTCTAATAGGTGTCTACCAAGTTTGTTCAAATAAAAGCCCTGGGGTCAAAATTGGCACCGCCCGGGGGGGGGGGTCATTGATTTTCCCTATATGCATATAGTAAAAACTTAAAAAATCTTCTTTTAAAGAACCCAAAGAGCTAGAGCTAAGATATTTAGCATGAAACATGTTCTAATGGGTGTCTACCAAGTTTGTTCAAATAAAAGCCCTGGGGTCAAAATTGGCCCCGCCCCAGGGGGTCATTGATTTTCCCTATTTTCCCTATATGCATATAGTAAAAACTTAAAAAATCTTCTTTTAAAGAACTCAAAGAGCTATGGCTAAGATATTGAGCATCAAACATGTTCTTATAGGTGTCTACCAAGTTTGTTCAAATAAAAGCCCTGGGGTCAAAATTGGCACCGCCCCAGGGGGTCATTGATTTTCCCTATATGCATATAGTAAAAACTTAAAAAATCTTCTTTTAAAGAACCAAAAGAGTTAGAGCTAAGATATTTAGCATGAAACATGTTCTAATAAGTGTCTACCAAGTTTGTTCAAATAAAATCCCTGGGGTCAAAATTGGCCCCGCCCCGGGGGGTCATTGATTTTCCCTATATGCATATAGTAAAAACTTAAAAAATCTTCTTTTAAAGAACTCAAAGAGCTATGGCTAAGATATTTAGCATCAAACATGTTCTAATAGGTGTCTACCAGGTTTGTTCGAATAAAAGCCCTGGGGTCAAAATTGGCACCGCCCCGGGGGTTATTGATTTTCCTTATATGTGTATAGCAAAAACTTAAAAAAATCTTCTTTGAAAAAACCCAAATAGCTAGAGTTAAGATATTAAGCATGAAACATCTTTTAGTGAGTGTCTACAAAGTTTGGTCAAATAAAAGACCTGGGGTAAAAATTGGCCCCGCCCCGGGGGTCATTGATTTTCTTTATATGTGTATAGCAAAAACTTAAAATCTTCTTTGAAAAAACCCAAATAGCTAGAGTTTAGATATTAAGCATGAAACATCTTCTAGTAAGTGTCTACAAAGTTTGTTCAAATAAAAACCCTGGGGTCAAAACTGGCCCGGCCCCAGGGGTGTCATTGTTTCTAACTATGTGTGTATAGTAAAAACTTTAAAAAATCTTCTTTTAAAAAGCCCAATGAGCTAGAGCTTAGATGTTTAGCATGAAACATCTTCTTATGGGTGTCTACCGAGTTTGTGCAAATAAAAGCCCTTGGGTTAAATTGGCCCTGCAACGTTGGGGGGGGGGTTGGGGGGGGGGGGGGGGGGCTATATACAGGTGAGCGACCTCAGGGCCATCATGGCCCTCTTGTTTGTTTGTTTCAATTTCCATTTTAGATTTGAGATTTTTTTCAATTATGTTCATTTTGTTGATACAGGTTTTACCTAGCCAAGCACAGTGGTAGACAGTTAACCTTACAACCACAGCTTGGGTCAGCTGATCTGAATGCAGTATTTTATGGTGTAAAGAAAGAGGACTCGAGTGAAAGTGTTGGTGCCAGCTCATCTAAAGGTCCAAGAAAACATATAATACAAGTGTCCACATACCAGATGTGTGTATTGATGCTGTTTAACAATAGAGATAAATGGACATACGAGGTCTGTACATGCTAGTTAAAGTGTTTTATCTTTTAGTGAATATATTCAAGATATCTTACATCGAATATATTCAAGAGGACTTCAATGATGAAGTAAAATGAAGACCACACAATTGAAATCATTTGCCCCAAACATATAAGTTTTAATTGTATTTTCATGGTTTGGAACTAATTTGTAAGGTGGCGGAGATTGTTGTTGTTTTTATAGGTGCTCAGCTTCATAAAAATGTGAAACAAAGACAATAACAGTGTTTTTTGTGCATTTAGCTCAGAAAAAGAAATGAATAAGATTTAATGGAAGTTATATTTACAGTTAAAATGCTAATTCTGACATCCGTTATGTTGATCTATAATAATTCTCTAACTCTGATTAAGATGAATTATGTAAAGAATATTGAGTTGTAGAGACATGACTTATACTTGGTTTCTGAACTCAGTATACATGTAGGGTTATGTACTAGATAATGTCAACACAATGAAACTGTGAGGTATTTGTTTTGTATTATAAACAGAATGTCTGTATAATATTATTGTATGTTTTATTTGGACATTAGGAGATAAGAAGTGAGACTGATATACCAGAGAAAGATTTGTTGAGGGCAATACAGTCACTAGCTGTTGGTAAAATAGCACAAAGAATTCTACACAAAGAACCAAAAAATAAAGAAATTGGTAATGTGTATATCATTTTCTATACTAATACTTCACAAAGTTCATCAAGTCATGTTTTGTTTGTCAAGTCATGTTTTGTTTGTCAAGTCATATTTTGGTTGTCTTTGAAGTTAACGTTTACAATGCAATCATAGCATTTCCAAAGTATTTCCTTGAATTTATTCAAGTAAGTAGAGTTACTAGTCTTAAGATGATTACTTTTTCCACTTTTCAGAATTACAAATTATAGATTTATGTTGAAAGTAGGTAGTGGTACATGTTTCAACAGTTTCATGACTGTATTATATTATATGTAATGATGATAACTAAAAATTGAATCTGTATATCACTTTTATTTTTCTGTATTATATATTTGATGGGGAAGTTTTGGTTACACAGAATGATATGTTTTACAGAACCAAGTCATGTGTTTACTGTTAATGACCAGTTCACCTCAAAATTATACAGAGTGAAAATACAGACAGGTATCATATGTTTAATTTACACAATAAAAAAATATTTGCTGCTTTGATTAAATAGTTACCATCAACACTTTGTCTATTACACTCACTTGTTTTAAACATCATTTATAACATTATTAAACTTTTATTCTATTGATTGAACACTTTGGAAGAAAAACATACTAAATTGCATTCTCAGTAGAAAAAACGCCAAATCTTTTCAGTCTGACCGTTCTATTTTGTTGACTGTTCTAACATTTTGATGCTGTTAACAGATTCAAATAAAAAGCAGGTTCTTATTCATGCTAACTTAAAAATGTGGTTCATGAAAGGTGCCTGCTTATAGCTAAAGTAGAGAACAAAGTGGCACTCCATTTGTAAAGTCGTAAAGTTGCAATATATGATTTGAAATTGTGCTATTGTGTTACAATTCCAACCATAGGAAAAACAAAAACAAAGTAGTTTAACTTAGAATAAGCTGTAGAGAAAAAAAATGGTTATATACATGAAGTAATTAGAGTATTATATATAAGAAATGTATAATTGACAGTTGCTGCTAGTAAAGGTGAAGCGGAGCCTGAGAGGAAGGAGACAAGGACTAAAGTAGATGAAGACAGAAAACATGAATATCCTTTATACTATTATACTGTTATAATCTACTGCTGCACATTGCTATATTAAAGGCACGATTTGCCTTAGAAATCCATATTTATAAAAAATTTTAGAAATGTAAAATATGAGTTTAATAATATTTTTAGAATGAATTTAGGTCATGTTAGATGTTCAACAGCTGAAGAAAGTAGCGCTGAATGTGCAATATGTGTTGTAAAGGTAGCAAAATGTAAACAAAGTTGAATTTTGACTTTCATACAAAATACTAATTCACTATATCATTTTCTGACGCATAATGGACCTTTAATATACCCGCAGTTTGTGCAATATAAGTAACTGTTATGTAGAAGTGAAATATTGTTTATATAACATGGCCACTACATAGATTTTATCATTGTTAGATAATGTAGTCGGTCACAAAAAAATTAACAAAGAAGGCAGAACTATTGTATATAAATATTGAAACACCTGACACTTTATAACTTAACCAAGATTGGGCTCATATGCTTATAAAAACCAAATAATAAAGATAAGATGCTTGGTATTAAACAGAGTTGTTAATAATATCTAATCTCATTAGTGAAATAATGTCTCTAGGCGCAGACAGATCAATAGCATGTTAATATTGCACATTCAGTCTGTAAAAATGTCACATATTGCATGGTGAGTTACAATATCAATGTTTCATGAAGAAAGATAGAAAATTTAAAGGTTTGATCCTTAACTGTAGCCACGATTGAAGCTGCCATTGTGAGAATAATGAAGGCTAGACGAAAACTACAACATAATGTTCTTGTTACTGAGGTATTTATTAATTAATATGTTACTATTTACAGGACCAGGGCTAAAAGTAATTTTGATTTTCTGTGCAGAGAGGTTTGTTGTTCATAACTTTGCTAGTGGTTTTGTATTTTATTTTTTCTGGTAAGAAAGTCCTAATTGTTGAGTTGTTAATTATCAGCCATGACTGCTGTGGGTTGGCATCACTGCTAGGAATGTTTGATATATTTATATCCTAACCAACCCAACTTTTCCCCATAGATTGCATAAATGCATTGATGCAAAAGGTTTATAATTTCACTTTTTTATGCAATGACATATCTATATTCTCTTTCTCTGTACACTTAATGACTTATAACAAATTGTTTTCTTTTTGAAGAAAGAAATGATTGTTTTCAAGATATAGAGAAATATTTCAAGATTTATTAGAAAGTGTTAATGCTAAAGTATTTTCGAAACAATTGTTTGGCTAAAATCTTAGATTGTTGGTGGACTATAAAACATGCTTTACTGCAGGCCATGTCACAGTAGTCCAATGAAAATTGGCGATAAAAACAGATGCTATTACATGTATAAATATAAACTTCATGCTAAATGTAAATAACATGATTATTACAGTGCACAGAACAGCTGAAGAGTAGATTTTTACCAAGTCCTGTTGTTATAAAGAAGAGAATAGAAGGTCTTATAGAGAGAGAATATTTAGCTAGAACACCCGAGGATAGGTACAGTATTTCTACATTATTAACTACAAATATGATAATTGATTTAACATTCCTTTACAGCTAAAGAACTTTGATTGATGTCTGTACAAATTCCATTTTAGCTTAACTATTTGAAGAAAAAGTAGGGCTTTTGTACTCACTCTGGTGTCAGCGTTACACTTGTTGCATGCATGTCTCAAAAATCACTTAAGGGAATGGGTGGAAATAGTCGAGCAAGCTGTCCTATTGTCAGCTCTTGTGAGAAAGTCTCTTTGGTAGAGTTTTTTTTTACAAGCTTACAAAAGAATGTTTGTTTATTCATGTCAAAATAATGAAATGTCTGCCTTTGGTTTATAATTTTTTTTTGTATCAGAAATTCAACTTAATTACGAAATTTCAGGGTTACTTTTAGAGTGTTACCAAAAATGCTGATCTTTAGTGATCTGTGTGATAATTTTAACTTGTATGTTTCAAAGAAAAAGTCAAGCTATTATGATTGCTGTGGCATCGTTGTTGTTGTTGTCATTGTTGTTGTCATGCAAAAACTTTTAATGTAATTTAACTTGATACTTGCTTATCATCACGACAAGGTGCAGTTGTAAGACTTGGGGCATAATTCTGAAAGCAATAATTTAGCAGTTTTGCTCCTTTTAATTTAGATATTATCATATATAACAGGCGAGCGGTAACACTGCATGCTTGTCTTGTTATATATGATAATTGTCCCTGCCTTATATTTTCATTTATTTTTTGTTTTTCAGGAAAGTATACACGTATGTAGCCTAAGCATAATTTATGATACACTAAGTGTTGACACAATTACTATGGAAATGCTTGTAGTAAAATCACAATAACTGGAATACCAGGCTATAACTTGGCTGACTTCTCAACTAGAATATCAAGTTTGTGCCCGGCTAACTTCTTTGTTTTTATAAAGTTCTTATTTCAATAACAAGACTTGGAATAAGATGTTTCATGGAGAGACAGGATTTATGTTTAACTGAGGATAAACTGTTATGTTAGTTAAGGATGTTTCATGTTAAAACTAGACTAGAATGTTACTGGATTATAGTGTCACTATATTTTGTGGCAGTTATGTGGGTGGGTTTGGTTGTTTATGTACAGTGAAGATTTATTGCACTATAAGGCAAGACATTGTACATTAACTTTAAACAACCTTACGTTGCTGTAGATACTGTATTTTATCACAAGTGTTGCTTTCTTTTTGGAATTAACAATTTGATATTATTTTATCCAGATTGCTAATTGCAGATTTCAGGCTGTAATGTGTCTAAGTTAATTTTTTTATTGCCATGACTACAGCTTGCTTTTTATCTTTCTAATGTTGTATCCAAGGTAATATTTTTACCATGCAAATGTTCATTTTATCTCAGTGACACTTCCATGGAGTGTAACATTGTTGTTATGGTGGTCAGTGTATTACTATGGTAACATAAGCAATGAATGGCATACACTCACTCACGCTAAATTATCAACACCTGGTATAAGATAGTAGACATTAACATTGATGTACTGTTCATGTATTCATGAATTAACCTGTTATCAGTATGAAGCATGAATGATTCTTGTGTGTTTTTTCATGTAATGTAAATTATAAATAAACGGGGGATTAACATTGGATTATATGTGAAACATTTTACATACATATATTGGGTTTAAAATTCATTGTATTTTTGTGTCCGTCATTCCTTGTAGATACTGTTACTTGCAAATATAGATTATGTTCTGTTTATAACTTTAGTTTGTTTCCCCCCAAGTTAAACAATGAAACAAATCATTAAGCTATTCTCTTTTTTTCTTTTTTTTTTTTCGCTGTTAATAATGATATATGATATTCATATGAGCTAATGTTACTATTATTTTAATGTTTAACAATATACTAAGAAGTTGTAAGTTTATCTAAAGATGCTTGCCTGATATAATGGGTACCTTGTCTTTGAAACTTGAACAATGTTACATCAGTGTAATACAACACTAAGTGAACAATGTTATCATCGGTGTAATACAACACTAAGTGAACAATGTTACATCAGTGTAATACAACACTAAGTGAACAAGGTTACATCAGTGTAATACAACACTAAGTGAACAATGTTACATCAGTGTAATACAACACTAAGTGATTAGCTTGATATTTATAAAAGAAATTATTTTATTAATTTAAGAAGAATATTACATCCATACATAAAAAAAAATTTTTACTTAAATAAGTTTAGGAATAGATTTCAAGAGTTTATGTAATCATGAAGAGTTGCAACCCCTGACACTGTATAGGAAAATTTAATTTTGTTACTTCATTGATAAATTACCAATGCTTTATGTTGGCTTGTGGTTTAATGTCACTATTAAACTTTGAAAAGATAGTTTCAACTATTTAGCCACTGTAATCTTTATTAGATTTAACAACGTAAAGTTTAGCCTGTTTCTCAGATTTTTAATCCTTATTTGACAAATTGGATATGAACTTCAACTATTTTTGTTTCAACCCTTCAAACTATAATTTCAAATCATGTATGGTATGTTAGGAAGTAAATCCAACTATGTTTCTACCCAGCCTGAAATATTGCAGAAAGGTACACCTCTAGTCTCTTCTGCTATCTGACGATTACAGTGAATTAAGTCAAATTTCCGAATTAAAAACCTGCCTGATGTCATTATATACGAAAAAAAGCACCCATTTGAAAAATTTGTCTCTTTAATACTTTTATGAAATGACTTTATAAAAATTAAATGTAAAACAAATAGGTTTTGTTTTAGTACATTGAATGAAATATTGTTTTTATTGAAGTGTTAAAATTCTAGATATTACTAAGATGAGCATATGGTTAAGGTTTAAGGATTTGAGAAACAGTTTAAAATAGTAGAGTAATGGCAAAATAAACTTGCCCTCATTCACGGAGATATAGTATACTAAATGATGTCAAACATATTTTGGTCTGTATCCATGTTGTAGATTTATTCATTCTTGTTCATAAAATTTTGAAATGTTCTGATCTATTTTTTTCCTTCGTTTTTATAGACAAGTGGGAAATTAATTGATAAAATAATTAGAAATATTAAATATCAGATATTTAAGCTAACATTGTAACTGTGAATATTGTGTTTTTTGTTTGTTTTTTTATTTGCCACAATTCAGAATGTGGTTTTCAAGATGAAACAAACTTTGATGTATGCATAAGATTATTTATGCTGCTCATAATAAATGAATAAAAATTTCATGATTTAGTTTATTATTTACACTTGTCAACGGTCTGCGGTTGGTTCAAATCTATAGAATAAAGTTGTGACCTTTTACTCTCTGACATGCACATATAAATTTATATGTTTCTTAAGGGTCTGGAATTATTTTTTAGGATTCATTTTACCAATTGATGTTAGTCAGATAATTACCTCGCTCCATTTTTGTCCCCTGCCTTTTTAAAGAAAAAAGGGGATATAGAAATGGGCTCCGTCAGTCTGTCCGTCCGTCACACTTTCATGTCCGGTCCATAACTTTGTCATTTATCAAAGGAATCTGAAATAACTTGGCACAAATGTTTGTTATACTAAGGCGATGTGTTATACTAAGACAACAACTAGACCCTTACCTCCAGGGTCAAGGTCGCACTTGCTCATTCAAGGTCAACATTGTCTATTTGAGGGTATATGTCATGTACGGTCCATAACTTTCTTATTTTTGAAGGGATTTTGAATATACTTGCCAAAATTGTTCACAATAATGAGACAATGTGTCATGCACATCAACCGGTCACCTACTTACAAGGTCAAGGTAACACTTGGAGGTCAAAGATTAACAGTGGTACAGGGTATATTTTGTGTCTGGTCCATAACTTTTTCATAGATCATAGGATTTTGTAAATACTTGCCACAAATAGTCACTATAAAAAGACAATGTGTCATGCGCAACACCTGCATCCCTACCTTCAAGTTCAAAGTCACACTTAGAGGCTAAAAGTTAACATAGTCTGTTTTAGGGTATATTTTGTGTCCGATCTAGAAACTCTTCGGGATTTTGTAAAAACTAGGCACAATATCACAATAATAAGGCAATATGTCAAATACAACACCTGCGCCCCTACCTCCAAGGTCAAGGTCACACATAAAGGTCAAAGGTTAACAGAGTCGTCACACATAAAGGTCAAAGGTTAACAGAGTCTGTTATTTGGTATATTTTGTGTCCCGTCCAGAACTTCTTCATAGATCAAGGGATTTTGAAAATACTTGGCACAAATAGTCACAATGATAAGATGATATGTCATGCGAAACACATTTCCCTACCTCCAAGGTCAAGGTCACATGTAGAGGTCAAAGATTTACATAGTCTGTTATTTGGTATATTTTGTGTCCAGTCCATAACTTTTTCATAGATCAAGGGATTTTAAAAATGCTTTGCACAAATAATCACAATAAGACGATATGTCAGGCCCTATCTCAATGGTCATCACTCTTAGAGGTCAAAGATTAACATTATAAGACGATATGTCAGGCCCTATCTCAATGGTCATCACTCTTAGAGGTCAAAGATTAACATTCTGTTATAGGGTATATTTTGTGTCTGATCTATAACTTCTTCATATTTCAAGGGATTTTGAAAATACTTGGCACAAATAGTTAAAATAATAAGACGATATGTCATGCACAACACCTGCACCTCTAAGGTCAAGGTTACACGTTGAGGGCAAAGCTTAGCATGATACATTTTTAAATTCCGTGTTTCATTTTATTTCTTAATAAATTTATTGTTACATTTGCAGATCTAGCATTGATCATAATTTTGGACTGAAAGTCCTGAGATCATAGCACAATTTTATGCTTCATATAAAACTTCCCCGAGCCGGTGGGGGGGGGGGATGTTGGTAACTCTGTTACAAATTCTTGTTGTGTGTCAGATAGTGGTAACATGCAGAATCACTTCTCTATTGTCTATCTGTCACAAAACTTTTTCAGACTAGTCTTTAAAAAACTAGTGGTGTGATTTCATCAAAACATTACAGAAATTATAAGTATCAGGCTAGTTGTGCATATTGACCATGTTGACAGCATTTTCTAGTTCCGTGATTTTTGTCAAAAGTTGTGGTCCTTTCATTATTTTAATTTTTTTAAAGCTGTGTTCTGACTACTTTGTTGATCAATGTTTGGCTGAGTTCTGCCCCTTAAATAAAAAGAGTGGTTTGGCCTGTTTATGACGAGTAGCTGCAACATGCTACAAAGTAGCCGCAACAAATAAGGAACAAACTGTCCAATCACCCCTCAATACAACTGCTAAATTGACTATCATCTGGCAAGACATTATCACTGATTGCTCTTGTAATTTATGTGGACTACTTCTCTGACACCACTTATGCAATTTGAAAGGAACTTTACAGGATATAGTTATATTATCATACCTCAAGTACTTTGGCACATCACATGGGTTTTCCGGTTGAAAGTTTGACCCCTTCCTTGGGATTACTTAGTGTGTATAGACTTGAATGATATACAGTAGAAAAATACTTTTTTAATCTTGTTTGAAACTACCCTGGTACTGAACCCAGAGCTTAGATATTCGGTATGTACCAGTAGTATTACCTTGTAGATCGCCACAAGGTACATAAATCATGACTGCGGTAAAACATGGGTCTTTTCTAACACTGGATCTAAGGTGAGTTATCTTGGGCTTTCATTGTCCCTTTCTAAATTCTTATATTTTTCCCTTGAAAGGGGGACCTGATAGCAGCTTTTGATGCAGGAACAGTATTGTTTCTTCATGACAGACTTATCAATAAAATTGAACAATTAGCACAAATGCAGTAAAAGGTATACTGAAATATCACTTCACCAAAATTGCACACACAGTTAAAAGAAAAATGGTATACTGAAATATCACTTCACCAAAATTGCACACACAGTTAAAAGAAAAATGATTGAAAGAAATTACTGATACTAATAATGGACAAGTAGTAGTCAGACAGTGAACACTATTACTTCATGGTTTGGAGAATGTAAGAAGTAAAAAATCTTTCAAGGAAAAGCTGAGTAATTTATCTCTTGTATAAATTTTAATTAAAACAGTAACAAAATAAAAACAACTATTAAATCACAAAATAAAATTTAAAATGCCTATCACTAAAACATGCGTTATGTACTAGAAACTCTAATACTATAAATTATAAACATTTGTTTGAACTTTAATAATTTATACACCAATATGTGAAATGTCTCGAAGAAAATTGTCATAACAGTACTTCCGTAATGTTTTAGTTATCTTAACAACAAGTAGGCAAGTGGTTAAGTCAGCTAAATGATCATAAGCAGTATTGGAGTCATAACTATATTTTCTTGTATCATGTAAGTCACTAATTAAACTTTCAATGAATGTAAAGAAACAATACTGGTTGGTTCCAGGCATGGATTCCAGAATGTTTCAATAAACTTATAGCTTCCAACACAATCAAATTAAAATCAATTCATATAAACTAATCTAAAATATACTCTTATCACAATCAAACTAAAATAAAGCACATTTAAAATGCCCAACACAGTTTATACTTGAGGTATTTAACTACAGTCAATAGTCGCTGTATACACATATTTTTATCCTGCTACTGTCTATATTATTGCCAGATAAACTATTCTATCTCAAGTCATTATGTGACATGGTTAGCAGCAAAGAAAACTACATACAGATGCTGTTTTATTGGAGAAAAAGTAAGAATGAAACCATTTTAATAATCTAAAAACATGATTAAACGAGACAAAAGCAGGATAAATCGAATACATGGTTGATTTCAGAATGGAAAAGGTTTATCCAGTTTGTTGTAAATTGAATTTTGACTTGCTAAAGCTCGCTAAGATATCATACACTTTCTCGATCACTTGATAAATCTTCTCCATCTCTACATCAACCATATATTCTCTTTATATCATTCAGATTATAAAACTTTCATTGCTAAAACTAACAAACACAAAAACAAACTGTACATGTTTGAGTATCTTGTACTTTTCTAATGCCTCTCAACTGAACTAAAGCAAAGCATAAAAAAAATCCCCTAAAGGCAACCAATGTAAAATAGGACAATTATTTAAAATAAGATATTGTCTAAATACAGAAATATAAAAATGAGGTAAAAGCATTTTTTGATAAAAAATTAAGTTACCCTAAGTATCACATGAGACTACAAACTATTATATTTGTTTGGGGAAAAGGTTACCTGCTTTTTATGAATAATATTCAAAAGAACTATAAAGTTTTGTTACTTGTGGAGCTTTAAAAATAAAAGTGGCACATTTTGCTTTCAGCTGTACTACTAAAATATACATCAATGCAAACAAAGAGATTTAAAACAAGTATGTCAACAACAACATTATATAAAGTCCTCTTACTTCCTGTTAAAATAGATAAAATTAAAGCATAAAAATCACTGGTATCAATGATAAAATCTCAAATACATGAATGCTGATATAAAAATACAATATTTACATAATTACAAACACTTCTTGTACATTTTACTAAAACTATAATAAGTAATCAAAATATCACAATTAGGGTTTTGCAAACAAGTTCTACACTCTCATATAGCAAGAAAGAGGTTTAAAATCCTTAATTATGTTAACATAATTTTCAAAAAAATTAAAATGAAACTCTTAATTTCTTAAATGTTTACCACAGTTGATTTTCATATCTATGTCTGACCTTGTCAGTAGCAGCAAGATGTCTTACAGACAAGTCAATATTGTAATGTTAACTGTACAGTCAGGCTGTAAAACTACTATAGAAGGCTTCATACACAGTAGTATGTCATCTTTACTTCATACAATTTACAATTGGTTGGAATCAAGCCCTTAAACAAGACTTAGCATTGCTTCATGTAGACACTATCTAAGTACAAGTTCCATCTTCTTTTACATAAAGTCAAATTTTACTGATCTTATATTTTTGATTCAGATAAATCAGAACCACAGGTTGACTGTATAAGATCATATTGGTTTAACACATTGTGCATGTGAAGGATCATTGAACGGGTACGGTTCATGTGGTAGGGCAGTTCTCCGTGGGTAGAATGTATTATCTACAGAGTACTGTAATAGGTTGGTGAGAGATGATGTGTAGATGTCAGCAAATCTTGCCATACGACGTGAAAAGTATGTCGGGTTGTGATGTGTACGAAACATACTTCCAAATCTGTCATTACACAATGACTTCAGGTGAGATCTGTAAAATAAGATTTTTTGTTTAAATTGATTAAACTGATCCAAAACAGATTTCCATACAAATTTATTACTAATTTGTTTATGATCTCTAATATAGAATTTTACAGAGAAACTGTGATGTACTTTGTATCAATATAATTTAAAGAAAAGCAACTATGTGATAATGAATCAAAAATAAAGAAGGGCACATAATATCTATTTAAAAAGTAGCAATGTGTACAGGATTAAACAATATTGAAAGATAACTACATTGTAATACGGTTATACCCTTATGACTAGAGAGAAGAGATGCTAATCTGATGACATTGAAACCTAATAAATGAAGGGCACATACCCTGTTTAATATCTTAGACTTGCCAATCTTTCAATCTGGGCAAAGCTATATATTATTTTAGATTTTTTTTCTTCAAAATATGTAGTGACTGAATAGCAAACAGTGCAGACAATAATTACTAAGACATGGATGTGCAGGATGATACTTGTACTATACTGGTTACATGGGTAGAAACAGTAACGCCAGCAAGATAAGTGTTTAAACATATATAAAATGTAACCTAGCATTTGTTTTCATAATTCATATGATATATAGGACAACTCTCAATCATGCTAACAGCTTATAGCCAACACAAGTATGATATTGTTATATAGCCAACACAAGTATGATATTGTTATATAGCCGAAACAAGTTTGATAGTGTTATATAGCCAACACATGTATGATATTGTTATATAGCCAACACAAGTATGATATTGTTATATAGCCAACACAAGTATGATATTGTTATATAGCCAACAAAAGTATGATTTGTTATATAGCCAACACAAGTATGATATAATTATATAGCCAACACATGTATGATTTGTTATATAGCCAACACAAGTATGATATTGTTATATAGCCAACACAAGTATGATATTGTTATATAGCCAACACAAGTATGATATTGTTATATAGCCAACACAAGTATGATTTGTTATATAGCCAACACAAGTATAATATTGTTATATAGCCAACACAAGTATGATACTGTTATATAGCCAACACAAGTATGATATTGTTATATAGCCAACACAAGCATGATATTGTTATATAGCCAACACAAGTATGATATTGTTATATAGCCAACACAGGTATGATTTATTATATAGCCAACACATGTATGATATTGTTATATAGCCAACACAAGTATGATATTGTTATATAGCCAACACAAGTATGATATTGTTATTAGATGTACTGAAATTACAAATTAAAAGTAGTCAAATGAAATGCAGACATACTAACTAAAGGATTTTAGTGTTGGTTTTTTAAGAACATAGCAAAGTTAATTCCTGTTTACCTTAGCTGAGATCTTTCCTCTAATAACTCTGGTATCATGTCAAGGCTCTCTGTACTGCCAGCATTCTGTAATTATATATAAGTACATTGTTAACATCTACATAAAATATTACACATGTTGTTTACTTTAACATCACAAAAATATTATGAACCTGTCTGTTTCAATTTATGATGATGATAAATTAAACATTAAAAATATTTGAAATATAAAATTATTTTCTAAAAATTATATAGAACTAGTTTTTTCTTTGAATACAAGGAGACATGACTTTGATAAATTAGAAGGAGTTCAACCTAATATTTAACTAACAATAGCTAAGATGCTGCCTAATGTTTTGTTTACACAAAGTAATACCTGAAAGAAGAATAATTATAGATTTTATCAAGAAATGACTTTATGTGTTATCTGTATGTGTTAGTACATTGAAAACAGTTTGGAACTATGAGCTTAATAACTGCAGGAGCAAAATGCGAGAGAAGTAACATTCTCTAGATTGTACTTACAAAACTAGCTTACACACTGGAAGATATCATACAATATATAAAGTTGCTAGGTGAAACAGGAGGAAAACACAATGTAACTACAGAACAAAAGTCTTAGTTGCCTCGATTTTCATGCACAAACTGTTTTCTTCACATGAAAGAATATCAAGTAATTGATGGGATATCAACCAATAGTGACAACAGGCAAGTGACCTTAGCTTCTAGGCCACAGAGGCCACTCTACATGACATAAGTTAACACAAGCATCCAAACAGTGTTGTTAAATTGCCAAGAGAACAATAAAATATCAATGTTATTTAAGTTTAAAAAAGATTTTATCTAAAAGAAATGCATCGAAAATCAAAGTTCTGTAGCAAGCTACATGTGTTAAGGTGATAACAAAACAAGCCTGGCTGCAATTTGCCAAAATCCCCTATTGGATGCTGTCCTATTTTACTTTGACATGCAATAACAATGTCAATGCACGGTAACTATATACCAGCATTGAGAAAAAACATTATAAGCGTAGAATCAATCAAACACAACAGAAAGGTAAAGACCCATGCAAGATTGCTGCATACTAAAAATCTAAGATATCGGTCAGTAAATGAAGGCTCTATCACAGTAAATTGAACATTTATTTCATGGTTTCAGTGACCTTGATCCATAAACCTTCAATACCAAACAAAAGGTAAATGTCAATGAAAGGTAAAAATATGCAAAATATCTATGATACTGGTCAAATTAAATCAAGGCTTTATTATGAAATATACAAAACTTTGTTCTTAGTGTTTGTAACCCTTGACCGAGGGTAGAGATTTATACAAGTTGTCTATATTCAAATTATCTAAAGAAATTATCTGGCAAAATATTTCTATTGTAGCCCTTAAACAGTTAAGTACAAAAATCTATTTCTGGTCTCTGTGACCACGACTTGAATATTAAACTCAGTCCAAGGGTAGCGGTACATTCACTGACCTACATAGCAAACATATATACAAAATAATGGTAAACAAATGAAGGCCCTATGAGAGGCCCTATGAGAAATGGTCAGTAAATGTGGCAGTAGATACGAGGGAGGGAAGGAAAATCTACATCTAAATGCTCCCTGAAGCACAAAAAGCTTTCATATAAAAAGCATGTAAATAAAGGTGCATATAAACATGTTGTAAATAGATCTAAAAATATACTTGAGTTTTGCAAATGTTACACTAAAAAAACTTCACTTTTTTCATAAACATATTAAACCAAATCAATGTTAGTTTTTTAAAATGTGCAGTATTTGTATACAAGAGTGTCATTATAACCCTGTATCACTCACCTGAGATACAATGCTAAAACCAGCTGTATGCCAATTATCTAAGTTAAGTGAGTTTATTATATAAGTCTATATAAACTAAATGACCCCAAGGACCCAAGCCAAATCTTACTCCAGGGGTATTATTATTATAATTTTTGTAGAAGGGAAATATATAAGCTATTAGCCATGAAGTTTCACATAAGAACAAATGTCTTTTTATATTCAAGTCGGGCAGGATCAATTTTGACCTCAAGGGTTTGATTTTTATTAATGACAACAAAGTGATGTTACTTGTAAAATGTCTAAGCTCTGCACATTGTAGTTTCTGAGGAGAAAATTTACTAAGAATCTTTGATTTAAGTCCAATTTTAGCATCGTTGGATACCCACGGCCAAACCTTTATCATAATGTGTTATGTTACGTTACATGTTAATCAACTGTTGGTATCTGACGATGCTTTTTAACTCTTGTGACCTAATTATGCATCAAACTCTGGCAACATTTACATAAATTTATAGAGGACAACCTAAGGATCCTCGCTCTAAGGTTTCGTCAAAATCAACCTTGTGGTTTAGGAGATGTTGTTTAAAGAAATTGTGGAAAGGACAACAGATGAACAACTGTTGTCTTTCCATCAAGCGACAATAATAAAGGTATACATATACAAATAGTTGGGTACTAAGGGATAATTAGGACGAAATTTTCAATACATTGAAACTATATAAAGGAACATTACGAGAAACAATAAACAATCACAGGACCTCAGTATTTTATTTTCATAGTTCATATAAAAGGGAATAATTGAGTTAAAACATGTCATATAGTAACGAGTCTTTACAGACCTACTATCATGACACTAAATAACTGTATATATGATATTTGGAGTGAAGACTTTTTATAGTTTAACATAGGGATGTAATAACACAGATATAGAGGTAAACAGCCCCACTATCATTGTAAAGTCAAGATCTGAGTATGTTAAACTAGAAAAATGAATCACATGAAATATGTTAATAAGATCTTATTTTCCTAAAGAAATATTCTTCGGACAATATGTTGAAGATTTTGAACCTCAGTATATTTTCAGATATATATCTACAGTTACATAATAGAAATAAGGAAATGTGAAAATCAACCTGTTGACAGCTCTGTGCCTCCTACAATAGTAATACATTCAATACAAGTCAATACAATACACAAAGCAAACTCAACTCAGCTCTACCATTTCAACTACATTTTAAACCACAGCCCACAGTTGAATATATCTAATAGCATTATCAAAATGTCTTGAAATGTTACTCAAAGTTTTTCATTCATGAATAAAAATTAAAAAATAAAAGCCCTAAAGAACATCCAATAAAGCAAACAACAAGAAACATGGCAATGCCAGGAAACCAGGTTTTCAATGATCACCAATGTTGAAAGTTTTGTTCCAGATGGAATACAATACATGCAATGTACAATAAAACTATGTACAATGCAAATGAAAACAAATGAAGAAACAAAAAAAATTTAGCAAGCATTTTGTAGTTACAGCTAATGGAAATATTAATATTGTTTTGAATGATTGGAGGAAGTGGATGGGTCTGAGAAACCCTGAAACAATCTAAAGCATGGTCTTCACATAAGCTAGCTTTAGACCAAGTTTTAAGAAAATATCACCCCTAACTTTACTTATCAACCTGAAACTAATTTTCTATTTTTAGTTACAGTGACCTTGACTTGATCTTCAAGGACACAAAAGGGAAGTCTCCACAAGCTTGCAACACAACAAGTTTCATTGAATCATCTCATTCCAAACTATAGTACAGAAATCAAATTTTCTATTTTCATAACAGCCATCTTGACCTTGACCCCAGGAGACCCAAAAATGATCCAAAGTGAGGTCTTCATATGAGCTTAAAATACACCAAATTTTATTGAAATATATCATTTCTAACTCCAGTTATTGACTGGAAACTATTTTTCTATATACCAAGTTGACTGGAAACCATCTTGTTTGATGCCCAACTGCCCGCCTTACACCAGTCCAACAACCAGGATTTTATCCTATTTAGATGATAATGGTGAGAGCAAGCAGGGCCAAAACACCATTTTTGGGAAGGGGCCTCAGCCTTTGTCTTGAAGAAAATATGCATGACTTTGGCATACTTGGGAAAAGGGGTCTCAAATTTAACACAAACTTTTAACATGTTCTCAAAAAGCACTGGGAAGTAAAAGACCTTAATTCAACACCATCATTTCATTTTGTTCTAAATTGTATGGCAAATTTCAAAAGACTGGGGAATTTTGAGGACCAAACAGGGGATAAAAAAAGAGGCAAGCAGCCTATATTCGGCCTCAACAAAGAAGGGTTTTTTGGCCTAGGCAAGCCTACAATCCATGCATCTTTGCTCCAACTTCAGAAGAATTCAACATATACACATGATTAGAGTGAAATATAGGATTCCAGAAACACCTCAGATGTGTTTATACAGCAGGTCTCATGGAACCTTCAATGTGGCACCTTTATATTGGTGCCATTCCTTGAAAAACAGTGTATGGTCCTAAGTAAAAGAATGTATTTGCACTAACAGAGAAAACAATCTATACTGTACAAAATATACACAAAAGTATTTTACAATATATTCATGCTGATGCTACAGGTAACATTTTGTGGAAATTCATCAGCAACAATTTGCTACCATTTACTCATGATTTACCCCCAACTTTGTGATGCTATCTATCCTTACAAGTTTAAAATAATTTTATAAAGTTTATTCTTACTTGAAGGCCTAAGTTTCAAATCAATCATTGTAACATTTGTTACAAGAAAACTGCCACAAGCTTGACTCTATAATGGTGTTACAGATCAGTCAATATTGTCTCAATTTAATAAATACAAACTAACTAGTCAAGATATTTTGTCAAAGATTTTTTGTTCTGGTGGAGATATTGCCCATACACACAAGAGCGAATCGAACTTGGTGATGCTCTCCAAATAGGTTACGTTGATACCTCTTGTAATTTCAGAGTTAAAGCAGCACGCCTCCAGATTCATGCTATTTTTCATGAAAATTTGAAAATGTATTTAACAGTATAATATTGTGAACTTACCAAAAGAGTGCAAACTACACATTATCAATGGCACTTACAACCCACGTAAATTACCATTAAGAGGTCAAAATGTGCAAAAATAGCCCTCACTGCGTTAGTAACGCAGTAGAAATAAAGTGAAAAAATAGTGAAAAATTGGTCATTAATCGCACATAACAAGTAATTATTACAAGAATTTGAATCTTTATACTTTTCCTAAAATCTAACTACATCTTTCTCAGGTTTGATTTTATCAAAATATTTTTGCTCATCTGGAGGCGTGCAGCTTTAAGTCCCCCGGACAAAGTTCAAAGTGTAAAAATGAAAAAGGGCAATAATTCCAAAATTAGGCAATGCAGAGTTACTGTTCTTAAGCACTGCACTTCTACTCAATGAGATCTATCTACTTACAAAGTTTCCTTATGATAACTCTTGTAGAGTCAGAGTTATATTCTGGACAAAAAAAGTCGGACAGATGGACGTAACAGATTGACAAACAATGTGGCAACTATATGCTCTCCCTTTTGGAAGCATAAATATATCACAATATCTCAACGCCTAATTCATTAAGTTGGACTACAAGCTAACATATGGATAACAAACATTGTTTCTAAAAATATCTGACCTTTAATAACAACCTACCTGCATTTCCTCTATCAAATGTTGAAGAGCAATCAACCATCTAACAGATGCTTTATAATCCGATGAAGTTATCACCTTTATTTCTGACTGTAGATACAAAAACAACTAGAACTATCACTAAATGTGATTAATACCCCTGCAAACTGCTTCGGAAATGAGGAAGTTACAAGTAACAGAATACCTAGTAAAAGAATTGAAATAGAATTATGGTTGTGGGCAATAAAAGATAATTGTGGTTTTTGTATGTTGCATTTCCTTACAATATTGTTGACCATTGATGAAGTTTTATTGAATTACTCTGTAATAAATCCAGAAAGAGTTACGCTTCTTGACCACTGCACTTCCTCTCATTGAGCTTGACCATTGTATGAAGTTGCAATGAATTCTAAACATTAGTTTTAAGTTATGCACCGGACAAGGCAAAGGAACAAAGGGCAATAACTCTACAAATATTGACGATGGTTTTATGGTTATTGTACATTGTACTTCCTCTCATTTCGCTTGACCATTGTATGAAGTTGTATTGAATTTCAACTATTAGTTTTCAAGTTATGCACTGGACAAAAAAGGAACAAAGGGCAATAACTGTAATTAGTCAAAATAGAGTTATGCTTCTTCAGCACTGCACTTCATCTCACTGCCCTTGACCATTGTATAAAGTTTCATTGAATTCCAAACATTAATTTTCAAGTTATGCACTGGACATTTAAAAGTAATAAAGGGCTAAAACTCTTAAATGAGTCAAGAAAGAGTTATGGTTTCTGTGCACTGTGCTTCCTCTCAATATACTTGATCATTGTATTAAGTTTTACTGAATTCCAAATAGCACTTTTCGAGTTATGCTCTGGACAAGAAACAAGAGGGCCATGATGGCCCTGAGGTTGCTCACCTGTATATAGCCCCCCCCCCCCCCCGGGCCAATTTTTACCCAAGGGCTTTTATTTGTTTATTTGAACAGACTTGGTAGACACCGATAAGAAGATGTTTCATGCTAAACATCTAAGTTCTAGCTCATTGGGTTTTTTAAAAGAAGATTTTTAAGTTTTTACTATACACATATAGTTAAAAACAATGACACCCCTGGGGCAGGGCCAGTTTTGACCCCCGGACTTTTATTTGAACAAACTTTGTAGATATTTACTTAAAGATGTTTCATGCTTAATATCTAAACTCTAGCTTTTTGGGTTTTTTCAAAGAAGATTTTTCAATTTTTGCTATACACATATAAGGAAAATCAATGACCCCCGGGGCGGGCCAGTTTTGACCCCAGGGCTTTTATTTGAACATACTTGGTAGACACCCATTAGAACATGTTTCATGCTAAATATCTTAGCTCTAGCTCTTTGGGTTCTTTAAAAGTATATTTTTTTAAGTTTTTACTATATGCATATAGGGAAAATCAATTACCCCCTGGGGCGGGGTAAATTTTGACCCCAGGGCTTTTATTTGAACAAACTTGGTAGACATTCATAAGAAGATGTTTCATGCTTAATATCTAAGCTCTAGCTCTTACGGTTCTTTAAAAGAAGATTTTTTTAGTTTTTACTATATGCATATAGGGAAAATCTATGACCCCCTGGGGCAGGGCCAATTTTGACCTCAGGGCTTTTATTTGAACAAACTTGGTAGACACTCATTAGAAGATGTTTCATGCTAAACATCTTAGCTCTAGCTTTTTGTGTTCTTTAAAAGAAGATTTTTTAAGTTTTTACTATATGCATATAGGGAAAATCAATGACCCCCTGGGGCGGGGCCAATTTTGACCCCAAGGATTTTATTTGAACAAACTTGGTAGACATTCACTAGAAGATGTTTCATGCCAAATATCTAAGCTCTAGCTATTACAGTTCTTTAAAAGAAGATTTTTTAAGTTTTTACTATATACATATAGGGAAAATTAATAACCCCCGGGGCGGGGCCAATTTTGACCCCAGGGCTTTTATTTGAACAAACTTGGTAGACACTCACTAGAAGATGTTTCATGCCAAATATCTTAGCTCTAGCTCTTTGGGTTCTTTAAAAGAAGATTTTTTAAGTTTTTACTATATGCATATAGGGAAAATCTATGACCCCCTGGGGCGGGGCCAATTTTGACCCCAGGGCTTTTATTTGAACAAACTTGGTAGACACTCATTAGAAGATGTTTCATGCCAAATATTCTAAGCTCTAGCTCTTAGGGTTGTTTAAAAGAAGATATTTAAAGATTTTTCTTTCGGTTGCCATGGCAACCAGAGTTCTGCATGGAATTAAATTCTTTGAACAATTTTTAAAGGTGACCCCCAAAGGAACATTCCTGTGAAGTTTAGATGAAATTGGCTCAGCGGTTTATGAGGAGATGTCATTTAAAGCAAAAGTTTACGGACGGACGACGGACGGACGACGGACGAACGCCGGACGGACGCCGGACGAAAAGCGATCACAAAAGCTCACCCTGTCACTTTGTGACAGGTGAGCTAAAAAGCAATGGAAAAGTAACAAAGGGCAGTAACTCAATAACTACTCTAGACAGAGTTATGGTTCTTGTGCACTGCACTTCCTCTTAATGTGTTTGACGAATGTATGAAGTTGTATTGAATTCCAACTAGTAGTTTTCAAGTTATGCTCCGGACAAGGAAAAGTAACAAAGGGCAATAACTCTGTAATTAGTAAAGATGGAGTTATGGTTCTTGTGCACAGCACTTCCTCTCAATGTCCTTGACCATTGTTTGAAGTTGTATTGAATTCCAATCATTAGTCTTCAAGTTATGCTGCGGACAAAGAAAATGCAACGGACATCTGGACCGACCGACCACCGGGTGACTCCTATATACCCCCCAAACTTCGTTTCTGGGGTATAATTACACATACATGTTATCACCTTTATTTCTAATCTGACTGTAAATATAAAACAATTACATGTACAAACGAACACAAGAATTCATAAATCCCCCATCCAATAGGAGAAAAGTCATAAAAAATGGACAGTCCATATACATTGACAGTCACATTTACATACTTAATTATATGAGAATAAAAAGAGTTATTTTCTTATGTACTGCACGCCTCTTTGATGAGATCTGTCCACTAATCAAGTTAACATTTGAAATTCTTTTTGAGTTTTGCTCCTGACCAAAATAAGGGATGGGTGGAAGGAAACTATAACCATACCCCATTTTCAGAGGAGATAATAAAAGTAACACATATTCATAATAATACAGTTTGAGAAATTTGATTGCTATAATCAATACAAAAATGTAATATTGTTGAAATAAACTATAATAGATATTTAATATTTACAGAAGTGTATTTTACCATTATATCAAGACAAGGTTATAAAATTTATCAATGGATTTTAGGAAATGTTTAAATACCTCTGCTAGTCCAAGGCATTATTTTCATATAGATAAATTTCTTCTTAACCTCCTGGTAGGTTCCATTTTCATTGAAATTCAAGTAAGAAATAATATCAAAAACATATAGCAATGTAATTTAATTGATTCTTCTCTTTTATTTTTCCATTGTATCTAAGTGAAGTTAATTAAATAAAGAAAAGTCTAGAGCCTATTGCAGTCTTAATAATGACCTTATAAAGCTACAGACATTTTTCACAAATATCTGACACAATATCTACATTGATAATCTGTGCTGCCAATGGCCTATACTTGTTACACAGCATGACTGGTATATAGCTAGAGAACATACCTCTAATTCAGGAATAATGGCACCTGTCCTCCAACTATGCTTCAATGATGGATCCTGTAACATATCATACACTATGAAAATATCCTCTATAGTATGTTTCAGACATTTATTCAATAATGATCAATGGAAATCTCATAAATAGCGATCAGAATGTATTGGTAACGTCCAATTCTTAAAATCAGTGGGGCAGTCTTTAAATAGTTTATGTTGTTTTTATATTTTACGATAATTATTTTTCATTATCAATTATTGGTCAATCACCATTATAATAGTCCTATTACTTATTAAGAACAAATGGACATCAAAAAAAGCGAAATATGTCACTTGAAAATTAGTATGTTATATAACAAGATTATAATTACCAGTTCATTCCTATAATTGTCTGCACAAAAAAGATAAAATATCTAACAAATACTTACAGCTAAATCTGTGTAAACATGGTCACCAAAGTAGAGAACTTTTGAACCATAGTAGCCCGTCATGTGTTGAAAATCAAGAAAATTTCCCTAGAAAATGACAATATCAAACTTATATAAATACAATGTATTAATGCTGATACATTTCAATAACTAAGCTATCTGGTTTAACTGATAATGATTGAGGGACAAGTTTGATATATCAGAGGAATAACTTCAGAGTTTTTAAAATTGATCTTGCATGCAAAACTTCAAGCAAGTTTTCTAAGTTCAAAAGGAACTAAAATTCAGTCAAAATCCATATCAGACTTATAGTTGTTGAATATTGACTTTCAGTTATGAATTTGTATTTGCAGCTCTTGTTTAATTGGCATCGACTGAAGGTTTTTAAGCAAAAAAGCCACCTTTCATTTTTTACTCCATTCTGCCTTACTTTCCTTCAACAATTTCTTTTAGCATGCTTTTTCCTACCTGTATATAGACCTGACCTTTATCCAGATGTTTTACTCTATGCCAAGAATTCTCATTCTGTGGATCATACAAACGAAATGGTCTGTAAAAAACAAATTTAATATCAGGCTTTACTTATATTAAAATAATATTTATTTGTATATTTATTAACATGTTTATTTTTAAAGCTGTCATTAGACCTTGGCTTCTCACATTTGAATTTCTGATGTGGCATATTTTTCCATAGTTATGAAGTCACACTTTAAGTCCATACATAAATCAACAAAATATTATTTTGATATGTACACATGTATTGGCAATTACTTGCAGAAAAACTGGAAATAACATAATACAAATGAATATATACTTCATAAGAGCTTTAAACTATCAATCAATTAAATTACATATGTTTTAGACAGAAGGCAAAAATAAGACATTACATGCACCCTTACCACACTTTATATCTTAAATGGACTTGTCTAAAGTTTAATCTGAACAAAACTATTTATATTCTTTACCAAAACATGCAAAAAAATAAAATCTGACTGAATTGTAGACATTGTAGACAATTATGGGAGAGCATGGTTACATGGGTAGAATCAGTTGCTGCCAGTAAAACTTATGTTTTTAAGGTCAAAAGTAGCAATCAATTCACAGGAAGTTGACTGTCAGTCCTTACATCAGCAATTAAAGCCTCACATGGGTCAGGATAATGTTTCTCCACATGTTATATTGGTCTAAGAAGTAGACTCAAAAATGGTATAAAATTTACATGTACATGTATATAAATGCACAACTATACAAGTATATTCTGACAGATGAGAGTCAAAATTTTTCTTACCTTGTATTTTCATTAAAGAATTTTGGCTTTCTTGCATTGACAACAACTACATCAAATAAGTCAATCCAATTTTCACCAACCATATACTTCATGCCAGAATTTCTGTAAAAACATAACAATATTTCTGATAAAGATGTTTTTAAAGTTACTTTCCTTTTTTGTTTTTACTTTCATTCAAATGACACAAATAGTTTTAGTAAACGTAACGTTTTTAATACATCAATTAAATGACAACCCTAAGACAAACTTGTAGGCAATTTTCAATAAAACCAATGATTGTATACTGGCTATCATTTCATCAATTTCAAAATAAAATAACCGAGCAGGAAATGTTTTCTAATAGAAACAAGGGTGCCATAGTCACAAAATACGCCCGTTTACGAAAGCTTTAGATGGAGATGGGGGCATTATGGATAAGTGTTATCTAGCAAGCAAGTTTTTATTCTTGGCACTGTGTTGTTAAATGAACCTTAAAACAAATCAGTAGGGAAGATATGCACAGGATGTGTGACCTTGACCTTGGTCGCAGGGACCTGAATTTTATGCACAGCACTCAGCCTCACAATGATGAACATTTGTGCCAAATTATATTGAAATCCCTCTATGCATGTAGAAGTTTTGCTCCAGACAAGCGTTTTTCTATGAGCTCTAACTGTGATCTTCACCTTTGACCTAGAGACTTGGTTCATGTGCAGGGCACTACGTCTCATGGTGGTGAACAATTCTATAAAGTAACATTAAAATTCCTCCATGCATGTAGAAAATATGCTCCGGACAACATCTGGATATTTAATCATCTCCAGTGACCTTGACCTTGCAAATATTAACCTAAATTAAATGTGTCACACCTGTAGTCATGATAGTTACCATTTGTGCTACAATCCATCAATAAATGATGACTAAATGGTCCCTATACACATCTTCAAATTTTTATCTGAACTTTGACCTCTATGTGTAACTTTGACTTTGGTCGCAGGGATCTGAATTTTGCGTGCGACACTCAGCCTCACAATGGTGAACATTTGTGCCAAGTTATATTAAAATCCCCCTATGAATGTAGAAGTTTTGCTCCGGGCAAACGTTTTTCAATGAGCTCTAAGTGTGACCTTGACCTTTGACCTGGATCATGCATGGAGCAATACATATCATGGTGGTGAACATTTCCATAAAGTATTATAAAAATTCTTCCATACATGTAGGAGATATGCTGCAGACAAAATCTGGATATTTCACCATCTTTAGTGACCTTGACCTTGCATATATTGACCTAAAGTACATGTGTCACAGCCGTAGTCATGATAATGACCATTTGTGTTACAATCCCTCAATAAATGATGATTAAATCGTCCCTATACACATCTTCATATTTTTATCTAAACTTTGACCTCTATGTGTGACCTTGACCTTGGCTGCAGGGACCTGAATTTTGTGCGCGACACTCCGCCTCACAATGGTGAACATTTGTGCCAAGTTATATTGAAATCCCTCTATGCATGTGGAAGTTTTGCTCCGGACAAGCGTTTTTCAATGAGCTCTAAGTGTGACCTTGACCTTTGACCTAGAGACCTAGTTCATGTGCGTGACATGGCTTCTCATAATGGTGAACATTTCTATGAAATTTCATTAAAATCCCTCCATGCGTGTAGGAGATATGCTCCGGACAAAATCTGGATATTTCATCATCTTTAGTGACCTTGACCTTGTATATATTGACCTAAATTTTATGTATCACAGCCATAGTCTTGATAATGACCATTTGTGTTACAATCCCTCAATAAATGATGACTAAATGGTCCATATACACATCTTCATATTTTTATCTGAACTTTGACCTCTATGTGTGACCTTGACCTTGGCCGCAAGGACCTGAATCTTGCGCGCAACACTCCGCCTCACAATGGTGAACATTTGTGCCAATTAATATTGAAATCCCTCTATACATGTGGAAGTTTTGCTCCGGACAAGCATTTTTCAATGAGCTCTAAGTGTGACCTTGACCTTTGACCTAGAGACCTGGTTCTTGTGCGCGACACTGCTCCTCATAGTGGTGAACATTTCTATGAAGTTTCATTAAAATCCCTCCATACATGTAGGAGATATGCTCCGGACAAAATTGGACGCTGCCCGTCCGCCCGCCAGGGGCGTTCCCATAATACGTCCCGTTTTTCAAACGGGCGTATAAAAAGTTAAATTGGGAATCATCAGGACTGGTACGTATTTCAAGTCTGTTTAATAAATCTAAATTTCTCTAGATGTAGTGCATGTAATTGTGCATTTGATTTACTTACAGGAGCAATTCATATACTGCAAAATCATTATTATTCTGAGGAAACCAAAACTAATTTTCATGGTTTTTGTGGATATATCAATCCACAAATTTAGGATCCAACGAATTTTCATTTCGTCTTCAGTAAGATTATTTTGCATTACATTATTTACATTTTACATTTTGGAAAAATATATAGACTTTACAGTCAACAAATTTAAGAACCCACAGAAATGTTTTTTTTGTGACAAAACCACAAAATTTCATGCCCAGGGAATTAAGTGAATCCACAGTAGTTACTGTAAAATACAAGGTTTGTAACAACTGATAATTTATCTGAAGAAAACATACATTATTTCATTCAAATTAGCAACTTACATAAATGGAAAACCACTGTTTGTGATGATAAACAATTTCTTCCCAGCATTTGCAAGTCTTTCTAGAATCTTTTTAATGTGTGGACCATTCTCTAGGTATTTGTCTGCAACAAGAAAATAAAGAACATTGTATTATATTAATTTATAAACACTGCCAAATATACAATATGAATATTCACAATACTGAAGAAACATTGAAAGTAATAGATATTATTATTCTTATTGTTACTAACAAGGTAAGTTGTGCATGGTTTGACAAGTTATTGGTAATTTCTGTGGACAGTAGGGGCTTTAGGCTAGGATAAATCACTTTGTACACTTTACAATAATTAACTAATTACATCAATCTTTATGTTTTTACAAATCTCGAGGTGTCCTGTTTGAAACAAAATACACAGGTATATATAATACAAATTTTGTTAACTTACAGAAAAATTATTCTGACAATTGGCCAGGTCAGTCAGATTTTGTTGGACAGAAAGTTAACACAGACTTAATAGACAACCTTAAATGCAGGTCACTAGTATTGAAGAATCCCACTGGAATATATTGATCAACTTACCTAAATTTCCCATGATTGTCGAGTGTAATTGACCTGATGTATGGACACTTTGTACTGCATTCTGAAAACAATCATATATAACTATCTTAAACATTTGTAAAGCTATCATTAACAATATCAGTAGACATTCCTATATAGAGGAATCTTTGGTAAATGCAGGTTTTTTCCCAGAATTTTGGGAACATGACCGATACCCATGGAATTGGGAACTTCAGTGACATTTTGTTAAAAAATTGGGGAAAAATGCACGACAGAATGAAAATTTGTAGTGATTAAATGAATGCAAACAGTCAATGTCTAGCATGGCATCTTCAAACATTTAAGCACTATAACGGTTAAGAAGCTTAATTTTTAAAGATTTTAGAGTTTCCTATTCAATATTTTTTTTTGTAATTTTCAATTCAATTGGGAATTTTTTCCTGTGGATTTGGAAAATTATATACTATTTTCAATTGGGAATATGATCGAATATCGGCTTTAAAATACGCCAAAAAATCCGTGAAATGTGTTGGCTTCTCAATGAACAGATTATAGCATATACACGAATCAAATTGTAATTATAGTTTTTAGTCTTGTGAAGTTCCTGAATATATTTCAAGAACTGAACATACCCGAAAAATACTGAAATTATTGAATAATGTTAACTTAGAAACCATGAGTGTAAGTATTGATTTGTTCACAACCTGAGATTAAAGTCAAGTTAATTGCAAAGTTTGCATTTATTGTTTGAATAGATTATAATAAACATAAGATGTTTAACTTTGTACTTACTCTTATGTCATAAAACACATATTCTGGATCATATGGTATATTATTCTCTATAAAATACTGAAAAAGAAATATCAGATATTGATATACACATATCTACATTTATTCAATGAATTCACTGGCAAGTGAAGTTTTTGCTTGCAAAAAATATAAATGCATTTACTTTTGTATATATATTATTGTACTATAAATTTAATAAATAGTCTAGAACTTGTGGCAGCCACTCTATATTGTAATTTGACTCAATGTGATGTATGTGTATTTTATATGAATTTCAAGAGAGGGTGGGGGCTTTTGTACTACCTGTAAATTTAAACAGTAATGATCACAATAAAAGATTTAGAACCCAGTACACCAGACGTTTACTGTCTGCCAGCAACAGCATGATAAACTCTTCTCAATTTCCAGTAAGATTACAACCATATTATCATATATGTATTAAATTGACATAATACCAATCCATGAGTAAACACTCACTGTTCAGAAAAAATTCAAAAGAACTTAACATTTCTTCACTTTTGTTTTCAATTTTATAATTAATGTCACCTAATTAATCAATAACCCCTTGAACCAACATGAATTATTTAAATATCATTCCGAATCTATTGGTAATGTTCAATTTACAAAAAGAATTGGGCAGTCTTTTTCTTTTTATTTTATACTTAATGTTAGTCATTATCAATTTTTGGTCAATGACCATCTTTTGAGATATTTAATTAAGCTCAATTTGACATTGAAAAAATCAGCGATCACTATAAAGGTTAATATTATTAAAAGACATAACTTACATCAGTTACATTAGTTATGAGATTCATTTCTGGAGGTGCAAACATGTCTACTAACTGAACCATAGGACCCTGAAATTATATATATTTATATATAAATGAGCCGCGTCACAACAAAACCAATTATAGTGCGTTTGCGACCAGCATCGATCCACGCAGTCTGATCAGGATGCATGCTGTTCGCTATCAGTCTCTCTACTTGTAATAGGGTTGGTAAGCGAACAGCATGGATCCTGATCAGACTGCGTGGATGCGTAGGCTGGTCTGGATCCATGCTGGTCGCAAACGCATTATATTGGTTTTGTTGTGACGCAGCTCATGTGTATTTATTCTTTATTGACAGGCCATCATGTTTATTTACAGAAACCAAGACAATGAAAACTACAGGAGATTACAAAAATATTTTATTTAAAACAGCTTCAATGCCTAAGTGTGTTTTTTCCAGACAATACAATCATAACTTAAGAGCAAGAACACTAATAAAGCAATAAAATCTGTAAGAAGAACATCCTAAACCTGTTAATTTATAACATATAATTATGTTAGATGTTTTAGAGTTATGAATATTTAACCATCAATATTAAACTCATTTAAGGGGCAAGGTAAAATATCAATATGGTAAAAATAACACTTCACTAGAGGTATGTTGTGTGTATGCATAATGGTTTTAGCTTAACATGCCAAGGTTAAACCAGGAACTGCAAGTTGGTCACCATGCAGAGTTTTCAAGTAGAATCACCAGAATAATATTGAGGAAGATTTCATTCATAAATATATGACAGAGTTATAGGTCTTTGTTGGAAATTGACTTTCTATTATGATCCCAAAGTGTAAAGATTTAAGAGAATACCTTCAGGGGGTTTAAATATAAGCATCAATTTAAAACTCATGATAACATTCATAAACATATAAATAACGAAATCTGTTCCTACTTGATTCATCAACACTAAATGTTACAAATAGAATATGACATTAAGTTATGAAACATGATGTGAGAGATTATTTGTAATGTTACATACAAAGCCATAGAATGTGTTCATATCACTTATTGGTACATGTGTTCCTTTATACAACTCCAACACCTCATTGTCTGACAATTTTGTTGTTCCTCTGTAAAATATTACAATATACTGCTACAATATCTTATATAAAATCATTCATTTATCACATAATAATGTTTCAACTTCCTTGTTAACAGTTTACAGAAAAAAAAGCTTTAAAGGGACTCCAGTGCGTTTTTTTGACATGATGGGACTGGAAATAATTTTCAAAATTAATGTTCCATTTGATATAGGTCTAGGCCAGTAACTTGTGTGCAAAACTTCAGATCATTCACTCCATAACTTTTTTCCAGAGTAATTATTATACATGTATTTGTGAAAAATTTTGAGGCATTCTTAAAAATAAGAGCTGCAATTGTTTGGCATAGAGCACCAAGGAATAGAACAAAATTGGTTGATGTAAAACTTGAATGAGGCTAAGAATGAGACAAAAACATCTCACATCAACCTCTCAATATGTATACAAAAACAAAATTTGCTTAGCAAATTCATATGATTTAGACAAATAAATATATAAATTTTTTTCCAAAATTAGCATTTGAATAGTTGTAAAAAGTCTAAATTACCTGTAAACTGTACCAAGCTGTATGTTATGATAGGAATCTATTTTCATCAGTAAACCCTGAAAGTTAAAATTATACTCGGTTATACTTGTTTCATATATATATGTTAAAACAATGTTACAAATGTGCCAAATAGTTAATGCTGCAAGAGACAAATAAACTAGAAAATTTACAAGTCTATAGGACACAGATGCCCCTACATTCCACTGTTTTACCAGCCTTCAGACAAGAAGCTTGACAACCTGACAGACAGACAAGGGCAATGCTACATGTATATTTCCCTAAACAGCCATGTGAGTGGCGGCATAAAAAACAACACCGACAAGATAAAAAAATCTTTCCTTTCACCTACTTGTATCTGAGTCCACATCTAGGTAATGATTCAAATTGTTATCTGACAAAATAAATGTTTATTAATCAATTTACAGATCATATGTATGGTTTTAGTTCAGATGGTGCAGGACATTTCTTCCTTCACCAATTAAGCTTGAAACTCTTCATATGATCATTAAAGTATTCATGTGACCTACAACTTAATTAAATCTGAAGATACTGTCTTACCTTCCTTATATCATAATGTAGACCTCTAAGTATATAGTCCGGGTTGAAATGTTGTTCTCCAATACCTTTTGGATACTATAATATCAAGAAAATAAAAATTGTGACAAAAACCAAACAATGTTCATTTTGCACATCATTAAAATAACCCATTAAACAATTTTTAAGTACTGTAAAATCTGCATAAGGCAAACAGCTTTGGGAATTTTCAGAAAATGTTTCTCCTATACAGGTGTCTGTGAAGGTCTTATGATAAAAGTTTTTGAAACATAATCACAGTACTTCACTTTTGTTTCAAATTTATAACACTGCAGTCACAATGTATAATAGAATTTCAGTAATAAATGACAAAGTTCACTTCTCACAAGTCATTATCAACATAATTATGAAAACCAAAGAAATTCTTTCACTTGATAAAAAATAAAATTAATACATCCAACATAATAGAGCAATCATGTTTACAAACAGAATAATTTCCTTAAAGGGTTTGGTAAAGGTTATATTCAGATAAATGGTAATGAATCTTAATAAAATTACACATTTCCAACATGCCGACTTATTTTTTTAACTTGTAGAATTGTTTGGAAGACAGAGAAAAATATTTAAATATACTGGATAGGAAAAAGAGAAAGATTTGCTAAAAAACAACCAAAAAAAACTGGAACTTTTTCGAGTACTTATTTTCAATAGTAGAAATGGTCACCTTGTATTTTTCTATAAGAGCTTCTTTACCCAGATCATACAACACGTGATGTAAATCATCCTTGTAGGAAGCTAAAGTGTAGTCATAATCAAACCCATACACTTTAATATCTGATAAACATATCTCATTGTTAGCAAATACACCAAACTTGTTCGCTATTGGTTCTATCTCCAATGGTAATTCTGTAAAAGAAAACTTTTCATGTATTTTTTTCTAAATAAACCCATACTCTGATAACTGAAGAACAATATGTTAGGCTAAATCTATTCTCCAATCCCTTCATTACATGAACACCACATTGATTCTGACATTCAGAAATGAAGTTTTGTTGATTAATGTGTCCATAGGAACACCAATGCTCCTGCAACACGGGCCGCTCCAGGTTGGTAAATAGCTCAATATTAGTGGTAAATTTTTTATGGTGCTTATAGATATGTATTGAATTTGGACCAAATATGAACAAAATGAATTCTGAAAATATATTAATATAATCATTTTAGTTTTGAAACAGGTTTTGAAAAGAAGTTGCATACAAAAATGCACAAAAGATTTATAATAGAAATACACCAAATTTAATTGATCTTGCATTAAAATTAACTTTGACATAATGAGAAAGGTTTCACACATGAAACATTGTCCACTTATGGTGGTCATGTGTACCAATCGATGGCCAAATCCAATCATACAGGCAGCAGTTATAGACCACAAAAGTTAAAATGCACTTAAGAATACCTGACATATAAGAAATACACTTAAGATCAATCACTGGCTTTGACATTGATCTAATGATCAAGGTCTTGCATGGAATTCCTCTCCTATTTGTGTTCTCTTAATAACTTCTGTGTGTATAATAGGATTTTAAAAATAAACTGGTTCACACAACCACCATGAGAAGATCATCATTTTCATTGACTGTATCAATACACCTGCCAGGATATAATTGATCAACTGTCCTGTTAAACAACATCCCAGACTTGTGTTGCCATGATAAACAATTAATACTTTTTCAAACATCTTCATTTATAAACAAACAAACAAACAAAACTCATGTTTGTTTATCACCATCAATTCATCATACATATAGAAAGCTACTTAAATATGTGCACTTGACCTACGGCTACAGTTAGTCTTCAAGTTTCATGGTTTAATGAATAGTAGAATAACAAAGACTGAAAAAAATGAATATGAGAACATGTGCACGTACATAAAGGTGTTTTTCAAATGACATACAAGCAGTTTTCAAGTTTCATGGTTTAACCCATTTATACGTGCAGGTCAAAGGCCCAATCACGAAGCTGGTCTAGGCATTGGCTTGAGGGGTGAAATGTCTTCAAAATTTGAAGGGTGCACCGTGAAGTGTCTAGGGTGAAGTGTCTCATTCCCAGCTTGCCTGACTATAGACATGTCTATATTTAACTGTTTTAAAGGAAATCAAGTGAAAAACCTGATGTCATCAAGTAAATTCAGAATTGGTCCTAATCGAAATTAGTCAATTATTAATTGATGTTTATTGACATCTGAACATGTCATCGGCCACCTTCAGCACTTCCGGTAATTTGTTTCCTTGTGTTTCATAGGTTTTCCAATTTTACTGACCAATGAAGAGGTTTTGCAAACTGTTTTGAAATACATGTAGGTGGAGCGTAGGCTATTTTGTCACATTGAAAACAATTCATGAGAATAATATGCATGTATACACTATTTTTGTACATACATGCAAGTTAAGTTTTCACTAGGTAAAGTATGACAAAGGGAAAATAAAAGGAACCCTTACGTACTCAAAACATTTTATAATGATTTCAATTTAGAACACAGATAAGAACAGAAAAAATATTTTCAGGCCTGAAACTGAAATAAAATTTTCCTGGTCGCGGGGTTTATCGTCAGGTCGGTTGGGAAGGGGAAACAAACATAATTTTATTTAAGGCCTACTATGGTTCCCATCTATGTTCTCTGATGGGTCAATTCAATTTAGATATCATATAAAACATGAAATGGCCATATATAATGTGTGTTTGTGTTGAGTGCGGGCATGCAGTTCTAAGTGTGAAGCCACCGATTGAGGTTTAAATTATAGCAAGCTCAAAGAGCAGGCTCACAAAGCGAGCTTTGCAGTAACGTGAATACCTGCTAGATAGTTATGGTTTTGAAAACTTTCACGGGAAGTACTACAAAATTATGGGTAATTGCTTAATCGTAACTTTTCGAATTACAAGATAAGGATAAAAGCCGAGGAATACAGATTGATAACGGGTGCAGAGACTGGTCTCCTGCCCACTTCTATGGGAATTATGATAGGACAGGGAACCAGAATTTAAAGTGTGTGGTTATGTTGAGTGAATCGTGTAACAAATTGTTTGCAGTTAAAAGTGTATTGAAAACAAAAAATATATAGCCGTCGATGGAAAAATTTGTTTTCATATTTTCAAATTAAAATGTTCTATATTTCTGTCAAAAAGCTTGCTTTGAGACTTTGCCTTATTCATATGGGGAAGTCAAAGGCCGGGACAGCGAAGCGGGCCAGGGTTTTGGCTTGCCAGGCTATAGACTACATGTGCATATTAAAAAGGAAATCAAATAAAAACAATTAAAAAATAAATTGAATTCTTAACCCATAGTTTTAGCTGGGTTCAGCCATTTTCAATGTAAAAATATTATTAACATATATGCCATAACGTCCCGGATATATATAAAAAATATAAATAATCTACTTTGTAGCCAGAAATTTTACATTTTTATATAATCTTATTGTCAAGTTTTTATAAACTATTTAAGAACGCTAATAACGAACGATTATCCCCTTACAGCTTTGCAATGGTGACACTAATCCTTTGATTGTTATATCTATGTGCCCCTTCCGACAAACAATCATCAGCAATAATTTTGATCAATTAAAAGATTAATTGTTTACCCCCCCCCCCCCTGTGGCTTCATAAGCGAAGGTGTCATGGAGTGTGATTAACAACTGGCCAGTATAAATTTAATCTGCCTGCAGGCAGTAATTAGTGGTCAAACACCGTCAAAATTCCCGCTAAATATGAGGTGATGAAATCTACATGATTCAGGGAATGCTTCAGGTAAACGACATGGCTAATTGTCCTAACTTAACATAGCTTTATTCTATTCTGTGACTGATTGAATTTACAATGCCTTAATACTTAAAAAAAGATAAAAAAAACTTAATAATTATTGACATTTTGTCTTGTTTATGTTGTCATTAAATTTGCAAGTTGAAAATAGCAGTAATAAAGGTTGTATGCCACTATGTAAATTAAAAAAATAATTTGTTTGCTGATCAATGCCCCACCTCCAAATAGTGTCTTGGAAATGAGTCTAAAAATTATGGCATGTATGTTATTAATGTACTATAATTTCTGTCAAAGAGCTCACTTGGAGGCTTTGCCTTATTCATAGCGAGCTCGAAGAGCTGGCCCAAAGGGCCTGCTAGCAAAGCAAGCTTTACCGTATCGTGAGTATCACTGTCTGCCAATAGTGATGGTTTTGAAAATTTTCATCCGAAGTACTGAATTGACACATTGCAACTTTTCTAATAACTAGATAACGATAACAACAAGAAGTATTCTGATTGAAAATGGAATCCTGCGTACTTATATGGGAACCATAATTGGACAGGGAACCAGAATAAACGGAAGCAGTCTATAAAATACCAAATGACAACTTTTAAACGTAAATGTAACAATAAAAATGAACAATTCATTTATACTATAATTTCACAGTAAAAGTAATAACCCATTTCATAATAGGAAATTAGGCAAAGCCTATGAACGGGAAGTCGGTTAAAATAATTGTTCATTTTTATTTTACATTTTCCGTTTTAAAAGTGCCATTAGGTATTCTATACACTGCTTCCCTTTATTCTGGTTTCCTGTTCTATTATGGTCCCCATAGATGTCCGCAGGGGCCCGCATCCTTTTTCAATCAGAGTTTCTCGGTTTCTATCGTTATCTTGTAAGTCGAAAAGTTGCAATTGGCTTTTATCTGAATACACCGCCATTTATCATTGCTTTACGACGCCCAACAAGAAATGGTAATGAAAATTTCGCTGATAGGTATAGAACTCTATATATTTTTTTTTTTCTTTTTTTGCTTTTTAAATATATCCCGGAGTAACCTAAATTCGGCGATATAAGAACAAATGTCAATGGCATTTTCAATAAACTACAGTAATCTATAATTATACTTGATATAATTTTACTACAACTATTGATAAGTTACTTTAAAGTGATTTCTAACAATGTTATCGTTCAGTGGTTGTCAAATATAAACAAATATGGCTGATGTAAAATCTTACTACGATCTGAAAATGTCACCTAAATTCGGCAATTCTGATTGGTTGCAGTAAATTTTTATTTTTGGCGGGATTGTGACGTAGTATGTTGACCTAAATCGGCAGAAAAATAGTAAGATAACAGGCGGCGACTGTCAAATTATTTTAAGCAACAATATCAATCAAACATTAATACCAAGATAGACTCTGTTTTAAGCACTGTATGTGAATTAAAATCAAACTATGAGCAATTAAAACAAGACAATATCTCTCTACAAAATGAACTGTCGAAGATAAAGATAAAACTAGACTATTACGAAAATAATTCCAGAAGGAATAATCTTAGATTTAACAGGATCAGAGGGGGTATTTCAGAGCACTGGTCAGAAACAGAGACTAAATTGCGTGATTTTCTTAGAACAACCCTCAATTTTGGTGAAGAAGCTGACCAAATTGATATAGACCGTGCACACAGGATAAGATCAAATAACTCTAGTACATGTACGATAATAGCACGTTTTGTACGCTTCAAGGACTGTCAGGCAATTTTAAACCGTGCCAGCAATAGTAAATCTGACCTAAATTCTGGATTTTCTGTTCAACAAGATTACTCCGACAGAGTGAAAAGACATCGAAGAATGCTAGGTGAACGTATGATTGAAGAACGTAAAAGAGGTCACTATGCATCAGTTCGATTTGATAAACTGTTCATTAACGATAGTATTTACAAATTTGATGATCAAACTGACCAGATTGTTTACATAGGAAAACGGTCAAGGTTTAACGCAGAAGCACGTGGTCGTGGGAATCATCAAATTAACCCTACTCAACGATTGGACGATAGCGAGCGCGGGAATAGTCGCGATACCAACGAAGAGTCACATGATGTAAGTCAGCCAATCGAGAACCGCACAGATAGCCGTGACGACATACCTCACTTCATAACATCCAATGAATAGGGGCTTGGCCGAAGTCCAAATATTACTCATCAAAATAAACAAATAGAAATAAAATGTGGGTCATGGAACGTTTGTGGATTAAATAAATTTAAAAACGATGATGATTTTCTTAAGTTTGTGAATACTTTTGATATTTTAAGTACATGTGAAACATGGAGTAAATTCAAAGGAGAATTCAACAATTTTGTAAATTCATATGTGCATTTTGACTTTGTTAGGAAAATGAAAGATAATGCATTGAGGAACAATGGTGGTATTAGTGTTTTCGTGAAAAGTACTGTTCATAAACTTAAGACAAATCTTTGATCATTTTGAGAACTGTGTTGTATTTTACTGTAATTTTTCAGAAATATTTGATTGTAATGACATTATCATGTATTTCACATATATAAGTCCTGAGGGAAGTTCTCACTATAATGATAGAGACGATAAAAACGGTATCAATGAAATGTTTAGACATTTTGAACAAATTACATATGAATACCCGGACACCATGTTATTTTTGTCAGGTGACCTTAATAGTCGATGTAAAAATTTTTTAGACTTTATCCCATGTGATAATTTAAATTTTATTTTTGGTAATACTGACTATAATGGTAGTACTTTTGATATTGTACGTCATATTAAGGATAATATACGTGGCAATAATTATGGTAAATGTTTAGTAAACTTATGCTGTATTTTTGATATTCATATACTTAATGGTCGTTTTCCAAGCGATAAAAACGGTGAATTTACTTGCTTCTCAAATGATGGATCGAGTGTTGTTGATTTTATGATCGCATCTTCTTCTCTATTTTCATACATTAAAGATTTTGAGGTTCTTACTAGAGATGAATCTGATCATTTTCCTATATGTTGTACTTTTGTGTTCCATAAAAAGTCTAATAACGCAGATAGCCAAACTGCTCAAATATCATTGAACACTTTTGATAGATATAAATGGCGTGTGTCTGCAGGTACAGATTTCTTGCAAAAATTTAGGGAATTGTTTCATAACCATTACACGATGATAATGGAATCAGTTGATAACTCTGTCAATTCTGCGGTCGACTGTATTACTTCTATTTATAAAGATGCTGGAAAATGTATGCTTAAGAAATTTTGTTTTCATTCATCTCAACCTCCGTGGTGGGATAACACATGTAATGAGTTAAAAGCAAACAAATACGCGGCGCTACGCACATTTAGATTAAGTTATTCCTCGTCTGACTTACGAATATATAAAGATAAACGAAATAGGTTTAAAGACTATTGTAATGTACGAATATCTGAATATCAGAAATCTAATCGATTAGAACTAGTATCAAACAGTAACAACCCAAGTTCTTTTTGGAAATTAGTGAAGAAAGGCAAAACTGTTACTATGTCTGATCCTAGTATTTCTTGTACAGAATGGTTCAATTATTTTAAAGATTTGTTGTATGACGAAAATTCAGTGTTTGTTGATCCTTATATTGGAAACGAACATGATTCCGCCGATGAAACAGCTCAGACATTAAATGAACCATTCACTTTGCTAGAAATTAAACATTCTATATCTAAATTAGTTAATAATAAAAGTTGTGGCCCAGATGGCATACCTTCCGAATTTTATAAACATACATCAGATGAAATAGCGCCTATTCTGCATACACTATTTAACAAAATACTCGAAACAGGGCAATTTCCAATATCTTGGAGAAATAGCATGATTACACCAATTCATAAATCAGGGCCAAGTAATAATCCTGGTAATTATCGCGGCATATCTATTACAAATACATTATATAAAGTCTTTACAGGTATTATAAATAAAAGATTATACGATTGGGCCGAAAATCAAAGAAAAATCGATGAATCTCAGGCAGGATTTAGGCATGGTTACTCGGCTATCGATAATGTTTTTTGTCTACAAGCTATGGTTCAAAAATATCTTTCTAAAAAGGGTGGCCGCTTTTACTGTCTCTATGTTGATTTCCGTAAAGCATTTGATAAAGTGAATCATTCTAAACTTTTCTTGTCACTTGAAAAGAAGGGCGTTTTTGGAAATTTTCTTCGAGTTTTGAAATCAATGTATTTTCATCTCTCTTCATGTGTTAAAACAACTGATTTGTCTAACAATGTTATGATTACTGAATTATTTCCCTGTAACATTGGTACAAGGCAAGGTGATAAGACAAGTTCGACAATTTTTACATTATTTATAGACGAGTTATCTTCCCTTTTAAGAGAGAAATGTGGCACAGGCATTTTCATTACAAATGATATTCCTGATATTCTTTGTTTAATGTTTGCAGATGATGTTGCAAATTGTGCTGAAACTGCTACAAAATTACAACAACAACTTAATGTAATTGATCAATTTTGCTTGAACACAGGCATGGAAATTAATCTTGATAAAACAGAGATAATTGTATTTCGAAATGGAGGTCGTCTTCGTAATTATGAATCTTGGTCTTTTCGCGGTCAGCCTGTAAATACAACTGCTGTTTATAAATATATGGGTTTGTTATTCACTCCACAACTATCATGGAATGTAGCTCATGATAAACTAGCTTCGCAAGCTCAAAGAGCAATTTTTGCTATCAAAGGTTATGAAAAACCATTTGGTAATTTTCCCATAAAGGAACACTTTAAAATTTTTGATACAATGATCAAACCTATTCTTTGTTATGGATCACAGATCTGGGGGTATGAATTTAGTCCAACTATAGAATCTGTTCATAATATGTTCTGTAAGGGTTTATTAAATGTTCGAAAAAATACAAACACAAGCATGGTGTTAGGTGAATGTGGTAGACTCCCACTTTGTATTACTTATTATACAAATTGCATCCGTTATTGGTGTAAGCTATTAGTTATGCCACCATACCGTTACCCAAAACAATGTTATTTAATGTTAAAATCACTAGATGAAGCTGGAAGAACTTGTTGGGCTAGCAAAATACGAATACTTTTATACAGTTACGGATTTGGTTACATTTGGATTTCTCAAGAAATAGGAGATGTGAATATTTTTGTTAGCATTTTTAAACAACGCATAATAGATTGTTATACTCAAAATTGGCATGATAATATTAACAATGCCAGTAGATGTCACCATTATTGTTATTTTAAAAGCTTATTAAATGTAGAACGGTATCTTCTTATAGAAATCCCTGTTAAACATAAGAAAGCATATGCTAAATTTCGATGTTCAAATCACAAACTTAATGTTGAAATCGGTAGGCATTTAAATATACCCTTTCAAGAACGCTTTTGCAACTTTTGTCTTGAAAATCATTTAACTTATCATATTGACTGTGAATATCATGCTTTTTTTCATTGTAAAAAATATTTAGAAATTAGAAATACCTATTTACTAAACTGGTATAATTCCGGAAATGAATTACATAACTTTTATGAATTACTCTCATCAAATGATATATTTATAATCAAGAAAATCTCTACTTATATTTACCACCTCATGATATCTATAGCACAGTAGCATTTAAATGTAATGATTGTCAAAACTTGTAAAAGACACAACCTTATAATGTTAAATATCAAATTTTGTATGACATGTATTTTGGGCCGGTGGCCTTTATTTACTGAATAAATCTTTTGACTTGACTTGACTTGACTCAAATAGAGTAAAGTATAGATGAACTTGAAATTGCATTATGTAAAACACACAATTTTCTCCATGTCATATACAATTTTTAATGTTTACCAGCTGTATCTCTATCTTTAGCACAGAAAATCACTCGAGTTGTAAAAATAGACTGTGGGACATAAACATGATTG